AAACTCATTACTCATTATTAATAATAATAACAATAATAGTAACCAGACTAATAATTTACATATATATATATATATCCCACCATATAATCATAATTTTCACCACGTCGTACAAACCCATTCAATGTCCCATTTGATTCCATGAACCAACCTGAGGTCCTACATGACATGATGGAGATAAGTTAGTTTCAAAAAATCCATGAATGCTACAATCATATTCCCCTCATCAACCCTATGTCTTGTTTCACCAAGAAAAATGCGCGTAACCCGGCGTAACCCGTAACGCTATCGCCTCACCAAACCTTTATAACTGGAATGAACCATGGTTTTTGTTTGGAATGTGAACACGGAGATTCGTGGGGATAACCATGAGAATTGGCATGGGTATGATGGGATAAGAAGTGTTTTTTGGGGGGATAAGTGAAATGGTGATTTTCGAATCCATCCTGAATGATTGTCTGAAAGGGGGGGATTTAGTTCATGTGTATGGCAATTTTGAGGAGCACCATGATGATAAATGGAGCCAAACCCATGCCAGTATATTGGGGGTATAAGAAGCCTGTTCAGTTGTACATATATCTGTTTAATGAAAATGGTCATATAATCCAAGTGACATGTATGGTTGTTTCCCAGCGAGGTCAGATACCAGCGGGTGCCCCATTCGTTTGTGGGCTAGTGGCACCTACACACATGTATATATATATATATGTAATCATATGTGTGTATATATATATATATGTGTGTGTGTCTCTATCTCTCTCTCTCTATATATATATATACAGTATATTATATATATAACCATTTATATTTAATCATGCATCTATGAAACTTCTTCAAATTCCAGGAATTATACATGATTGCTTTTTCCAGCCTTTCGACTCTGGGTAGGTCATGACAAAACACAACTTGAAACAAACATAACATCTTGGGGCTTTCCTAAAAGAGCGGTAGCCCCAAATCATCCAACATTAGACAATTTTAGGATTAAAACCTATGGTGACTTGGGGTAACCCCTATGACTTAGGAACCCTCCATATTATTCACCATTGAAAAAACTTGGTTTAAGGGAGAATCTTAACCGGAACTCTAGATTCTGCCATTAAGACCATGGGCTTTTCCATGGTTTTCCTGTAAACTTTCCCTTTAACCAATCCATTGAACCATTCTGATGCCGTCCTGATCCCAGCAACGGCCCCAAGGCCAAGGCAGATCGAGCAAGCCCCGCGCCGTGAGTAGATCTGGGGGCCCTCATGGGATCATGTGTTGGTGATGGATAGAATGGTCCTTTCCATGGAAAAAAATACAGGTTCTAAGCCCTATGAACAAACATCTTTGGGAGGTTTCGCTTGTTCGCAAGTGGGGTTGAACCCCAGTAGAAAAATATCAGCAGTCAAGAAATCTGAGCTTTGATTTTTTTTGTCGGGGTAGGATCTGTTGCTAGTGATTTGGTGAAATTAAGTTCACTTACCGAGGATTAGATGGGGTTGGTAGCCTGTAAGTAGACAGTCATATAATGTGGTAAACCCAGAACCGTGAATCACCCCCATTTCTGCCAGAAAAGGCTGATATTAACACATAAGCCATCCACAATTGGAATGTTATTTAATTTCGGGTTTACCACACGGGAGGATCCATGTTTCTGATTGGATTATTAACATTTTTATATGGACGCTATGGATGTGATTGGTGTGTCTTAAAATGGGCTATACCCCGATTTTGGGCCATTTCAAATCGCGTTTGACCGTGAATTTGGGGTTGCAACATTACATTTTTGCTTTGAAAGGACATGGATGGACATGGACATGCAGCAAATACCAACCAAAAGAAGAGGGTATATTTACTTAACAACACTAGTTGTATTGATTATATATTACATATAAATATATGTGGGCTTGTCTGAAAATAAAGTGTACCAAGAAAATGTAATGTTTTTTGATAGCGAAAGGGATGACCAACCATCAATTTCTTGGAGCATACATGTTTTTCAGACACACCCCTTTTTGACCAATACAAGCACTGATGTTTAAGTGATGTCAAAAATCACGAATCTGTGGCGAGTGTGTTCAGCAATGGGGTTCCATTTGGCAAATCTTTGAGCCATGCTCTAATTTCGGAAATACACTTTCTCGGATGGACAAAACTCCAGCATTTACCCGAAAAAATGCGCATCATTCTGGGTAAATATAATATAATTTAATATTTCACTAACCTGATTCTTGCGACCATTTGGGGATAATTTCCCTTGTTAACCATGATGTCGTTATAGTTTACCCAGATCATTGGTTTGATGGTCAAAAACAACACCTCTCCGCGTTGCGGCTTCTCCGCCTTGCTCCGAGCGGTAGCCTCTCGCAATTCGACGACATCAGCGCAACGGCAGAGCTTAGGGCCGGATCCAAGGGCAGCCAGGGCCATGCCGCGGCGAAACTTTTTGTGTGTTTCAATGATGGTGTTATGGACATTTCATGGGAATTTATAATGATTATATAAATGATATTAAATGTGATTCATCAACTTGATATAATATCTGGGTGTGTCTGAACACATATACCTACTTTCATGGATTTTAATGACGAACATGATTATCAACCATTGGATTTGGGGCTACCCTAGTTTTAGACAAACCCACATGAGCAATATGCATTCACATGCCGGGTGTGGGTTTGTCATGGTTTGTCCGAAAATCTACAAAACAATCCAAGACCATCCAGCATAATTTTGTTTCATCATCCTCCCTATGGCCCAATGGCCATAGGGGTATACCCCATTTATCCAAATGAATTAGCAATCCCGAAAATAGGATAGGAACATGTTTCCAGGCTGGTATATGATGATATCTACCTCATACTTCAAGGTTTTTAACGTGTTTATCTATTTTGGGGTTGCTATATATGATGTACTTGTATATATAATTTTGGTAATGACCTAGTCTTTCCAGGAAATTCGACCAGAAACTTTGGTTTCTGAGTAGATGCCAAAAATTGGATACGTTGCTTGGGAAGCATCTAAACAATGCTAAACAACCCCAGCTAAACAAGCATAAAATCAGGAGGTTCTTGCTTGGAATTTGTCAATTCTGGGCTAACAAAAAATGGCCATGGTGTTGCCTTTCTACTGGGCAGCTTGAACCTAACACACCTGTACACGCCTCGTATGCAGATCAGATGTGTGAGATCGTGCAACCGCATTCAGTAGACAGACATGTTTAGTTCATGTTTGTGGATGCGTGTGGCGCATGCATGGTATGTTCTGTTAAATATACACTTTCTACTTGATGCGCAATAGTATGTTGAGCATTGAGTAGTAAGACACATGAAGATTTGCCGTGGCTCGTATCAGAGACTCTTGTGCACATACCATGCATTCCAACGAACAACATACATATACATGCACACTGCCAATAAAACACTTGGAAGTCCTGTACAAATGGATTCTTCATGGCTGCTTGAAATCTGGGGATAGTGATGTTCAAGGGATGGAAACAATACGTCACCATCAAACATGGCCAACCTTAAATCCCTTAAAATATATCATCCCCATACGCAACAAAGACTGAAGTGCTTGCCATCCAATGATTCAAAATTGACCAAACAAATTCTATAATATGGAACAGTTGTTCGATCTTGCCAAAAAGAATTCATCCATGGCCATGGCGATTGCTGGGAACATGGTCGTACGAGTACTGGATCTAAATGGTGGATTTTGACGCCATGGAACTGATTGCCAGAGAATATTCACCCAACTGAAAGAAAACGATTTTGGGATAGTTATATACTGTACCAGTGAGGGAAAACAGTGAGGTTGTTATAATTTACCCAACATGTAATATTGTAAGTGCCAATGTTTCCGTGTTTTTTGGTTTAAATTGCACCATTTATTTTCCGTTTCCGATATCCATCTGGGTCAATGTGAACAACGCTGTCAAGTCATGACAACTGGATGATGTATAGATACAGTATAAATTTGTATAATGTATGACTAATATACGTAATATTACATGACGAAATACATCGAAGAAATAATTAAAACTAAAGGTCAATGGTTTGTGTGTTTGATATGTTGCCACAAAAGTCGTGACTGGTGCCCACACCACAGACCCGGCAGGCGGCCAGTTCGGCAGTGGGGCGGCACCCAGCCATCGTTGGCAGCCTGTGAAATTTGATTTCCGTTTTCAACCCAGCCCGAAATACCTCATGAATGCAAAACTGAGCCCAAAAACAAACAAACGCCGCCCTCACAACAAATGGATGGGTTCATACACCAAGTATAATCAAGTTATGTTTCACGCATGGTTGAAAAGGAAACGGTGTGAATTAATCCAAATATGGGTGAAAATTGACAAATATGCTAAGCGCGCTGCCATCAACCACACCCATGAAGGGCTGCGAAAACCAGATCCCAAAAGAGAGTTCCAATGGCATGTATAACATAACACATTACTAGTACCAAAGAAAAGTTTATGTTGAACATCAAAGTGACCAACGCGTGCGGGTCAAAAAATCATGAGATGGGGGTGGCAAAAAGGGGCACCGAATGGGAAGATACTGTGAAGGTACGCCCATGCGTCACCGCAAAACTGCCTGTTTTGAGGCCCTAGTTTTGGAACCTCATTTCGATCAAATACTGGGGGAGGCCCATGCTTGCGCGTCTGCTTTTTCTTGCCTTTTTAGGACCAAAAACGGACCCGTTCTTTGTGATATATATATATATATATATTGGTTTGCTCCAATTTCCATCGCCCTGGCCTGCCTCGAAGCCTGCCTCGAAGTGTTTTGTTCCAAATTTCCATAGCCTCGCGACCCTGGAGGCGCGTTTCAAGGCCTGCCTCGAGACTTGCCTCATCCTTGCAAACGTCTTGTTTTGCTGCAATTTCCATAGCCTTGAAGACTCGAGGCCTGCCTCAAGGCCGTCCCCTTGCGCCAGCTGCGGCCTAAAACTCTAGCACGACACCAAAAAGTTCCCAGCTTCTTCAAGTTCAGCCCTGCTGGGACTCCAACAATAGTATTGTATAGTTTCAAGTCCCCGTCAGCCTCGCTTTGTGCTTGTGCCAATATGTTTCGCGTCGGAGGCGTCGCCTCGGGCAAGCCTCGCTGAGCTTCGAACGGCCTCGAATCGCTTCGATTGCGCTTTGGAAAGCTCGAATCAGCTTTCAGTACAAGGGGCATCTTTCATTACCATCACAACAGCAAGGAAAAGATTGTCATGATCAAGACAAGCCGGTACAAGGGCTTGTTTTGGGTTCATTTTTTGCATCTGAAATTCCCCACCTGCCAGGTGAGGGTTGTTAGGTTTTATGTCAGTTGCCTGCTCCTCCTCTCCTCTTCTCCTCTCCTCCTCCTCGTCGTCCTCCTCGTCCAACTGCGACCCGCGATCCACAGTGTTCTCTGTCGGACCTCAACCACGACCATCCATGCTCAGTGTTCCCTGCCGGACCTCAACCACGACCATCCACGCCCAGTGTTCCCTGCCGGACCTCAACCACGACCATCCCGCCCAGTGTTCCCTGCCGGACCTCAACCGCGAGTATCCACGCCCAGTATCCCCGCCCAGTGTTCCCTGCCGGACCTCAACCACGACCATCCACGCCCAGTGTTCCCTGCCGGACCTCAACCGCGAGTATCCACGCCAAGTGTTCCCTGCCGGACCTCATGCCCAGTAGGAAGATATGGGACAAAGAATGTGCAGAAGAAAGTTAGAAAGAATGTCAGAAAGAATGTCAGAAGATATGCCAGAAGATATGCCAGATAGAATGCCAAATAGAATGCCAGATAGAATGCCAGAAGATATGTCAGAATATATGCCAGAAGATATGCCAGATAGAATGCCAGATAGATAGAAGATTTGCCAGATAGAATGCCAGATAGAATGCCAGAAGATTTGCCAGATAGAATGCCAGAAGCCAGAAGATATGCCAGATAGATATGCCAGAAGATATGCCAGAAGATATGCCAGAAGATATGTCAGAATATATGCCAGAAGATATGTCAGATAGAATGCCAGAAGATATGTCAGAATATATGCCAGATAGAATGCCAGAAGATATGTCAGATAGAGTGCCAGAAGATATGCCAGATAGAATGCCAGAAGATTTGCCAGATAGAATGCCAGAAGATATGCCAGAAGATATGCCAGATCATATGCCAGAAGATATGCCAGATAGAATGCCAAATAGAATGTCAGAAGATATGTCAGATAGAATGCCAGAAGATTTGCCAGTAAGAAAATGTATAAATGTCATGGTGGGGATCACATGAAGTAAAGTAATTGTTTTTTTTGGCGACGGAAGTGAGGCCTCCCTCCTATGGGCTTTGCATGGAAAGAGGATAAATTGCATGAGGATTCTTCATCCTGGCCTAGGATCATATGCAGCCCGCAGATGTTGGATAAAGCGGCTATTTCACATTTTGCATCTTCCAATCAGATGATGCTTGCAGCGAACTCTACCAACCAAGGAGACAATAAAGTAGCAAGAAGCGGGCGCAATATTTTATCAAAATGAGGTTCCAAAACTAGAACTAGGACCCCAAAACAATCGGTTTTGCGGTGATGCATGGGCGTACTTCTCCTACATGAAACTATACTTTAATATCTTCTGCAAGAAAAACATGTCTTGACAATGTTTGGTCTGCAACTGTAAGCATGCTCTCTGTCTAATCAATTTCGCCAGCCTAAGTTTCCCTTCGTTCTTTGATTGAAGTTGTTGGTTTGTTGCGCACAGTTGAATAAGATCGCTAAGTAGAAGACCAATGAATGAAGATGATGCCTACATGTCCTTGGCGCCTCGGATTGCATTTTGGGGTCCTGATTTGGGTCCAATTTTGGGGCCAGTTTTGGGTGATGACGCAAGGCACTCGGGTTTGCGGGGCTGCAGCGCTTGGAGGAGCATGTTTTGTGCAAAGGACATGATAGATGTGCCTTGCAAATTGTACCACAGACTCAGTGGTTTGCATGCACGTCATTGAACTCACACGAGGAACCTTCTCCCCCCGTCAAGTGGGTCCTGTACCTTGGTGTTGTGTGCTTGCAAGGTACAGTGCCTGCAGGTGGTCCAGTTATCTTGGCAACTAGCTACAGTATTTCTATGTATTTCTGCTTGCTGCTCTGTGCCTCACCCGGGAAGTTTGAACTCCCCTCGTTTCTTATCGTTTCTACTCATTCATCTGGTTTCTTCGTTTTTTGGGGGGGATCAGTGAGGGGCCTGTGATTTTTTTTTAATTGCGGGGACCCAAACAAGGACATGTAGGCATCATCTTCATTCATTGGTCTTCTACTTAGCGATCTTATTCAACTGTGCGCAACAAAACAACAACTTCAATCAAAGAAGGAAGGGAAACTTAGGCTGGCGAAATTGATTAGACAAAGAGCATGTTTACATTTGCAGACCAAACATGGTCAAGACATGTTTTCCTTGCAGAAGATACTAAAGCAAAGTTTTATGTATGAGAAAATCAAAAGCATGCTCGCTACAGTACGCCATGAAGGAAACTCACCAACAAGCAAAACAATATTAGGACTAATGGGTCGAGTGACGTGCAAAAAACGGCAAATTGTGGATTAACTTAACAGCATGTTGCTGTGCTAGTGTTTGGTTATGTTTGTTTGGTCATTTCAAGATATCAAGAGCATCAACCTAGGATCGTGATTTGAGGCACAATGGGAAACAATGGAAATAATTTTCAAACTACCAGCCCATAGCATTGGTTTCATTGATGTTCCACTGTTCCACAATGACAATTTACTATTTGTGAGAATTTTCGCCGCCATGTTGATCATTGTTTAAAAACATTATGAACATGATGCAGGTTTCACATGGTTTCACATTGCTGCCGCAAGGACCCAGTCCACATATGAGACGAGCCCCGGCCTCTTCATTGCTGTCCTTCCAACTGACAAATGTTCAACCGGCATTGAAAATTTTTGCCCAAATCGAAAGCCCATGCCCTACTGTCCCACGTCGCAGCAGGGAAAACCCAAAGTATCTATAGCATTCTATAGCCCTACGAACACACGGGTGGAAAACTTATCTGTCTTATACCTTCGTCAAGCAATGTCGCAGTTGACTGAGCAATTCCCAAGAAAGACTTGGCAGCGTTACCGCGCCGTGACCATCGAAGCCTCCTCCTCCTCCTCAACAACAACAGCAACAGCAGCAACAGCAACAACAACAACAACAACAACCACAACAACCACAACAACCACAACAACCACAAAACCACAACAACAACCACAACAACCACCACAACCACAACCACAGCCACAGCCACAGCCACAGCGACAGCCACAGCCACAGCGACAGCGACAACCACAACGACGACGACAACAACAACAAGAAGAACAAGAAAAACAAAACGAACAAACAGAACAAACATAAAAAGGAATAGAAGAACCAGAAGGACAAGAAGAAGAAACAGCAACCGCGACAGCGGCAACTCAGCAGCAAGAAATAGCAACAACTAGCGGGAAACAACAGTCAGCAAGCTGCGCAACAGCCATAGCCCACAGCCGCAACCACAGCTGATCGAAGCCAACCGGGTTCCGTCCTCTTCCCACTTCCAGGATTTCTGTGTCTTCTTTCCCCCTCAGTCGACAGGCCCGTCGCAACCCAAAAACATCCAAGCAATCGCTTGAGACTTTTCTATATAACCAGGCAGTTGGAGGCTAAACTCAAAATCAAGGTTGTTGCTCCACGGTTTGCAGGTCAGTGCAAGGAGAATGTACGGTTCTGGCCATTTTGTTAGTTATCTGTTTTTTTCTTTATGGGGTTGTGCATTCTATAAATGGGGTTTTGTTAATTGGTATAACTGGGGTTTCTATAACTGGTATTCTATAAATGGGGTTTCTAGAACTGGGGTTTTGTTAATACTTATAACTGGTATAACTCGGGCAATAACTGCAGGACTTTCCGGCGGTTCCACCTGGATCATCCGGATGATCTTCCGCTGGGCTTCTTTGTCGACGGCTGCGTCTGAAAGAATGGGGTATGTATACAGTACCCCCAAAAAAGAAAACATGAATGTTTAAAAGGAGCATGAACAAAAATTTGTATATATACATGTGTATATATATATATGTATATATATATAGCACCAACAAGATGAGATTAAGATGTATCTGAATTTCTGCGGTACAGCCACTGGGAAATCCTGAGAGCCGCTGGTTGGTGGAATCCATTGCCAGGTTGGAAAACTTCGGGGAACCCGATCCAACCCCTCATCATGTTCCGAAGTTCCCCATTGAAATTGCTTGGTTATGGAAAATTATCATTTCTAGTATACGGAAAATGATCTATCATCATTTCTAGAATGTAATTCATCTATAAAAATCTATAAGTGGGCAATTTTCATTCATTTTCCCATGGAAAAAGGAGTGTATCCCACTGGGTTTGTCAGCCAATCCCGGCTGAAATCTAGGCAACGGAGAAGGTGACCTGTCGAATCCTGTGGATCTCAACTGGGATCGTTCCAACCCAAACTCCACATGTAGAAATCATAGTAATATCAACAATTGTTATTGTTGGTATTATTACTATATATACTATATATATATATGTATATATATGTGGTGTATATATATATATATTTAAATAATGAAACGTTATATATATATGTATATTTATATATATATGTATAAAAACATGTATACATCATAGCATAAAAACACATTATATGTAATATAGATTCTAGACATGTGGTTTTCCAAACCATTGAAGGATGCTGATGGCAGGTGTGATGCACCGAGAATAATTATCCAATATCAAAACAATCTGGTTCCCAAGGATTTTACCAAACCCGTATTCGGCAAAATGTTACGCAGACTTTGGATGTTGTGATGTCATGTGATGTCCATGAGTACTGGGTCAAGATGGCGTCCCCACAAATATCTATGGTCAATGATACAAATGATGAAAACAAACAGTTGCGTACCACGTACCAGTGTGTGTGTGTGTGCAGTGTGTGGGGATTCCAACCTACAGATTTTGGTTCATGGATGTTGAGATCAGTTCAAGGATGACGATCTATTTTTGGCCCCAATTTTGACCAGCCATATGTTGGTTGATAGTAATATACTGGGACATATATATTAACACAATATAGTTTAAAAACCCAATATAGCTAACCCAATATTAGATGGTAATGCCTGAGTTTTGGCAAGTCCCCCTGCTTTTGAGTTCTTCACGGACCGCCTTTTCTACAGCCCTAAAAAATCCGGATGACCAGGAGGGCCTGCCATGCCATTGGATGAATAACTCTCGCCCAAAATGGGAGCACCCAAAATTGATTTCACACTGGCTTCAATCTCAACCCCATATGCTGCATGTATGGTATACGATCAGCAAAAACAAATGTCAACAATTTGGACTTCCCGAAGATAAAAACTGTGACCGGAGGCCACCTTCTTTTTTTGATCCGAACCCATGTAGATTTATATGTGTATATATATACATATATATACATATGTAGAAACATGGTATATAAACCATGAACCGCGTGTGCAATTGCTGATGAAACCATCGGTCAACTCCCAACTTCGCTTGGTAATCCAACATCGGTTGGTTGTTTCGAGTGCGCAACACGGTGTAATAAAGCTACATAAATTTACCTCGTTTTGGGGGCTGCAAGGTGGTGCCCCTCCAATTATATTTGTTGGTTTATAACGCCATGAACTAGTTCGATATGATACATACATAGTAATAGACAGCATGAAGCCTAGTTGTTGGATGTTATTGGAGCTATAAAACAACTTAGCATCAGGAACCCTAGGCCCGTAGGCCTATAGTTATTGGAGTTATAAACCAAGTATAAGCCTGTAGTTGACTATAGAATAGAAACCATAAAGCCTAGCTTTCGCAGCGTTCTGGGTCCACGACAGCGCTTCTGGGCCCACCATCTCGCTGAGTCGTCACCTGTGGAAACCGCGTTTTTGGAGAGTCTGGCGCATCACTTTCGGAGAGTGATACCTTTACTGGTTGGTGGTTTCAATCCCTCTGAAGTGGTTAATGTATGGTTAATGATGGTTAATAATAATCTGGTTGGTGGTATACCTACACCTCTGAAAAATATGACTTCGTCAGTTGGGATGACGACATTCCCAATATGATGGGAACAATAAAAAATGTTCTCAACCACCAACCAGCTTTAAGTGATATATATGTGAAAAAACTAAATAGTGATGATCTAAAAAAAACATTACAAGGATGTCCGTGATTTTCCCATGATGTTCCCATGATTTTCCATCATGTTCCTCATTGATGCCCGTAACTTGGAGGTTTTCCGTCCCGAGTCGGGACGCTCTTCCTGGCCAGGACCCATTTGGGAATGGTAGCCATACCACCTATAAAAATGGTTATTTGGGGGATGGTTTATGGCATTGTTTTTTTACCCACGTTAGCTATGGCAAACCACCATCTTAAATGAGTAAATCAACTATTTCTATGGGCAATTTTTTTAAGCTATGTAAGAAATTACCAGAATGTATATCCTATCTTTCCTTTGATGAAAATACATGCAGATTGGTATGTCACGGTATGTCCAAGAAATGCTGAGTCCCGAGCCCCATGAGGTTTCCTAGGAATGTTAGCGAGTATAAGCAGCCGTTTTGAACTTTCAGATAGGAAACCATCCATTTTTGGGGTACCCAAATGACAGGGCTGCAATGTTTCGGTGGTTAACATCCAGCAATCATGCCTCTTGGGTAGAGTCCATCATGATTGGGAAAAATCCGGAATGTTCATTAATGTTCCACATTGTCCTCATGCCCATTTGGTCCCCTTTTCTGACCCAAAAGGAATAATAATGCCAAGCAAATTTGCTGGCAGACATCCCAATCTTCTAGCTTGCGGAGTTTTTTTTTCCAATTTTTGCCAACTTGCGATCCCCAAAAAACAACAACTACCCTGCGGCAATCAATCGTGGCAATGAAAAATCCACTATTTCGAGGTGATTTTCACACTAAAACATCCATTTATATGGGGTTTCCACGGGTTTCCCAGCTAGCCACGTCTGACTACCGGAGGGAATCCTGAGTCTGGAGCCTCCTGAGTACCCTTCAGACTCTTGCCAGTCAGATTTCCAACTCCTCCCATCCAGAGTTGGGCACCCTCAAAGCCAGGGATTTAACCATTTGAACTATCAAAAAGTGATGCGGAACACCCCATGCAATTTTTGGGCACATTTCGTCATGATTCCTGTCATTTGAATCCTGGGAACACATCAACTGGAGTGGAGTATCACCCTTTTTGGCGTGACAAATCCAAATAGCCTATCGTTGGCATATATGTCCCAATAATTATCAATTCTTAAATTCATGTGGACCTGTGGAACCTCAAAGATGAGGTTTCCCTAAGATGATGTTCCTCTTAGCTGTTGTTCATTGGCGGTTGGGGATGAACATGACAAGATTGCATGGGCAGTGGCCAAGGGGGTCGTGTTATAGCATGCCAGAAAGAGTTATGCTATACGTATGTACTTCCAGTGGGCCTCCAGGTACTGTGGATGGACAAGCCATCCTGCACCAGCTTGTAACTATTTGGTAACCATGAAACACTGTGAAAATTTATGGGATCAAACACTTGTTTTTTCATATTTGTCCATCCGTTCAGCCAGGTGAAAAGAGCCAACGGTCCAACTATGAAGTCGTCTAATTACTTTGTTCATCCAAGATAGGATGAGAAAAACATGTGTATATGTTTGTAGATGCTGATATCATGTTATGTATATCAATGTATATAATATACATATGATGAGATTACAATATATTACACATAGATACATAATTATACGTATATACAAATCTATATATGTCAAGTTGCAGCAATTGTCGATTGTCGGCAAAGTGAACGTATAAACGGTCAAAGAATGCTCTACAAATCCTGAACCGCATTGGAACATCTTGGAAGCCCGTTCAGGTACCTCAGATCATGTCATAGCTATGGTATGGATCATTTCTAGATGAGTTTATTCACAATGGTTATTTTCCAAAACTACCCTCTGGTAAACTAACAGTTTGCTATGGAAAACCACTACGTATTTTTAATGGGTAAATCCACTATAAATGGGCCATTTTCAATAGCTATGTAACAAATTACCAGAGGGCATGTTAAATGATCAAAAGGTATGTACGTCAATCAGGAATCAGGGTCCAAATCAGGGTCCGTAAAGGGTCGACCTGGAATCTTGGGAAAAATGGGCCTGTTTGATCTTACCCTGGCGCCAATTTTAGACTTCCCGCAAGAAAACAATGATACCCTCCTGTAAACGAACATAGCTGTGGAGAACCCACTATGTGATACTATTTGTAGATCATTTTCCCACTGAGACATAGTGAAATTCCATGGGTTTCCCACATCATGTCAGTTCAACCCAGGGTATACCATCCAAAGTCGACCCTTGACATAGTTCAACCCGTTCCATTTCCCCATTCCGATGGCGCATTTGGGGCTCTGGGGACCTTAGGCGTGACCCAAACACACATCTTTTGCTGGCAACAATCCACCAGGTAGAGCCACCAACCAATTCAAACGGCATAATTTGTCATGATGTGGTGTGTAAAACACCATGCGGGCATGTTTTAAAATTGGGAACCCTGATCCACCCCTTGCTTTTCATTCTTCGCATTGTCTATTATTTGATGGCATATATAAATTGTTGTAAATGACCGATTTTGAGACAACTCCCGTGTTCATCACATCTTCTGGGCAGAACGGCAACCTGCCCATGACCCCTCGCCCTTTTCGCCCTCACCATGCCTTCCGCTCATGGCTACCTTCGTGTCCAACAATGTGGTTGTCAAACAAAAAACACGGGACAATTGAAGCGAAAACAAAATGATAAACTGATAAACCTTTGTTTTTCACCCATGGATTTCAGGGGTATCCCATTTTACAATGATCCCAACCATTGGTTCATTATTTTGGGGTCTGGTGGAAATTAAAAAAACTCATTGTATCACACTGATCCATCAAAGGCCCAAACTGTAATATACCCTCTGGCAAACTAACATAACTATGGAAAAATCACCAATTTTAGTGGGTATATCAACCATAAATGATCATTTTCAATAGCCAACTGTAAACGTTTGCCAGAGGCTAAGGGACGGTTATAAAATGAATAGAACATAGAGGGTGAACGCCTGGATGGCCAAACATATGTGGTGCCACAAGTTGCAAATTTGGCGTGTTTTTTTGGAATTTCCGAGTCACTGTTTAGACACACCGAGGAAAATATCCTGAGACATCCTACTTGGTTATGTCAGTATTACAGTATAGGATGTAGGTTTTCAGAAGGGTGATTTATAGGGTTATTACCGAAGGAAATTTAGAAGTCAAGCTTCCGACAATATGGACAGATGAAGAGCAGAGATGGGAAGAGTCAGATAGAAGAGAAGAGTAGAAGAGAGAAGATCAGAGAAGAGAAAGAGTCAGAAGAAAGAAGATGCAGGTACGCGAAAAGGTAGGAAAGTCGCGAAGCACTGTTTTTCCAATGATTTGTGGCTCCGGAGGGTCGAAAAGTAGGGTCGCTAAAGCGGCGGGTGTGGAGCCATCTGGCCAGATGAGAGATGAAAAATTGCACGCCGTTGTGGCGCGAAGCACATTTCCAAGTCAAAATGTACAAAACACCACAAGCTCGGACCACTTTTGAAAGTGAGATGTCGAAAAAGTGCACGCCGTTGTGGCGTGAAGCACATGTCGAAGTCAAAATGTACAAAACACACCATTCTCGGACCACTTTTGGAAATTGAGATGTCTAGAAAGTGCACGCCGTTGTTGTGCGAAGCACATTTGCAAGTGAAGAAGCCAAAAACACCTCACGTTCGGACCACTTTTGGAAGTTGAGATGTGGAAAAAGTGCCCGCCGTTGTGGCGCGAAGCACATTTCCAAGTCAAAATGTTAAAAACACCAGGGGTTCGGACCACTTTTGGAAGTTCAGATGTCGTTTCGCGTGGCAGGCGCAAGGGATTGTGGACCTTGTCAAAAGTGAGCAAAACGTGAAGGTTTGTAGCATTTTCAACTACAACCACCACTACACCACACTACGCTCCAATACACTACACTACAACTACTACACCTTCACTACATTCCACTACACTACATTACACTACACTCCAATACATTCAACTACACTACACTACACTCAATGACACTCAATTACACTACACTACACTACACTACGCTACACTACACTACACGACATTACACTACATTCCACTACACTACACTACACTACACTCCACTACACTCATCTGCACTACACTACACTCAATGACACTCAATTACACTATACTTCACTACACTACGCTACGCTTCACTACACTACACTACACGACATTACACTACACTACGTTACACTACACTGCACTACACTACATTCCACTACACTACACTACACTACACTACACGACACTACACGACACTACACGACATTACACTACACTACGTTACACTACACTACACTACATTCCACTACACTCCACTACACTACGCTCAATTACACTACACTACATTACACTACACTACACTACATTACACTACACTACACTACATTCCACTACACTACACTACACTAACTACAACTACAACTACGACTACAACAATACCACATTTACACTACGCTACACTACACTAATTACAGTACACTATACTACACTCCACTAAACTGAATGACACTGCACTACATCTACAACTACAACTGCAACTGCAACTACACTACATTACATTACACTACACTAATGACATTACACTACACTACACTACATCACACTAACTACAACCACAACTACGTAAGGCTACACTACACTAATTACATTACACTACACTGCACTACACTACACCCCACTCCACTACACTAAACCTCCCTACACTACACTACATTCCACTACACTACAGTACACTACACTCAATTACACTACACTACACGATCCCACGCGACACTACACTACACTGCACTACACTAACTACAACGACAACTACAACTACAGCTACAACTACAGGTACAACTACAATACATTACTTGACTCTACACTACAACTACAACTACAACTGCAACTGCAAATACAACTACAACTACAACTATACATTACACTAGTTGCATTACACCACACCACACTACACTACACAACACACCACGCACTACACTGCACTATACTACGCTACACTACACTACACTACGCTACACTACACTACACTCCACACCACACCAAACCACACCACACTCAATTACACTACACTACACTACAGTACCCTACCCCACATTGCATTACATTACATTACACTCATTACACCACCACAAATGCAACTGCAACTACACTACACTAATTACACTACACCACAACTACAACTCCACTACACTACAACTACAACTACAGCTGCGCTACATCACACTACATCCAGCAGTTGTGGGTGAGGTGACCGACCAGGTGACCACTGCAACCATTGCAGCCACTCCAAAAAACACAGCTCCAACCACCTTTCGGTCCATCAGTGGATTCGCTCTGAACCAATCTCTCCTATAGGTCCTGTAGGTTTCCTATTTTTGAAACTTCCGCCACCGCCTTGTGCGGTACTACTGGTATTACTACTGGATTTATAGGGTTTCAACGTTTGAATTTTGAAAATCAAAAAAGGACCTGGTACCCAATGGGATGTGATTCGTACGACATCATTCAATTGTGTAAGTGAAATGTTAGAGACAAATATCATAATAATGGAATTACTTCGGAATATATAACACTGGTGTAAAATGCAAAAAACAAACAGGACATCATTGGTTGTTTTTCCCCCGCAAAATGGCGTTTAGTTGCATTGTATGGGAATATTGCTGCATGTTTTTGTCGGCAATTTCCATGGCCACTTGTCCGATGTTCCAAAAACATCCAATACCCTCTGGTAAACTAACATAACTATGGAAAATCACTAATTTTAGTGGGTATACCAACCATAAATGGCAATTTTCACTAGCAAACTGTTTTAGTGTTGGAGATCAGATGAAATGAGGGATCATGTTGTCATGCAACATGAGTGTCACATGGTCCAGCCGCTCCAACGGCGCCTGCTGGTGCCATGGTTTCGATGAACTCGACCGAACTAAACTTAATGATGGCGCGAGCACCAAAACAATAAATCATGATGGGGTGTAGGTGAAAAATGTTGGAAACATGTGTGCAAAATTTTTGTCATGCCGTCATGGCCATTGTTTACAAACAAACGTTTGAAGTGCAATATTCAAACGCCTATGTGACCACACCGGACTATTGACTGCTCTGCTAATAACATAGGCCATAGGCATCCATAGGCCATCTCCATTGCCAATATGGTTTTAGAATGTTTTAGACACATGTTTGGCAATTCATGTCCATTACATTTAACATGGACAATTTTCATGATGATGTTTTGTGTTTTTGTGCTCCTCTCGATTTAAATTTCTCACGTCACTCACTTGATCCGAAACCACAGTTGCAGGATCGATTGAGTTGCAATCGTCAGGCCACCTAATTCCAACAATTGCTTGCCCAGTGTTTTGTCTGGTTGTTAGAGCCATGTTTGGTGCTGGCAATGTCGCAGAATCTTCCGTGGTTCTGTACACATGATCATTTTGGTTGATGCTCAAGAAAAAATTGCCCTTGGCCCGGCCGCCTTTCCTGATTGCTCTGCACCATGCTGGGCATAGATTTCGCGCCCGTGAAATTAAAGAAAAACAACCGTTGAAATCAAGGGAAATTATGGTGGTAGTAGTAACATGGCACAAATTTAGGTCATTTAATTGTCGGGGAGTGCGCGATCGTCACCGTTATTGTTCTTATATGAGTCTGATTCAAATTTTCCCAGGCTGTTTCTGCATGTTTCTCTTGCACGCGCCAGCGACCATATGGACTCGTGTGCTACTTTGACATGGTCTATGTTTCGTGTGTGACCAGGCAGACTGACTATATACAGGTACATGTCGATGCATGATGTCAAACCGAACACTGAAGCGGTGCGACCTGAAGTGCTACTTTTGCGACGCCGCAATCGCTATTTGCACTCAGCTCGTGGCCGCTGTTGCCTGGTGGTTCCTCCTCTCTTTGCTCCTCCTGGCCGCTGGGCGCTTGTGAGCGCGGCTGCCAGACTCATGTACTCAACAGGATCAGTGGCAGGAGCGCGCCAATGGTTTCCGCTAAGAGTGCCTGACGGTCTATAATCTCATGGCCGTTGCGACGCCGGGAAATGCTCATCTTGTGGCCACAGAAAGCGCGGATACTTTTGAGCACGGGTCAGCATGCACGACAAGCTTGACCCTGGCAGTGGGAGCATGATAATGCCCTGGTCCACACAGCGCGGCTGCACGGCAGAATAGTTCATGTCGAATGTTGTTGTTTGCGTAACCCCTGCGTCGTCAACTTGCTGCACTTGCTTAATGATCTATCACGCCCTCAATTGCAATCCTGTGATAACTGCTGAAACGTTTGGCTAAGACTATGTAGCCTGTTTTAGACACCCACACCAACTTCCGGAATAGATTTTGGCGAAAGGAGCAGAGCGAGCAAGATATTCTTCGCCACACCATTACTGTAATTAGCATTCACAAAGAAGCAAAACAGCCAACCTTACTGTGTTTTCCACTTAAGGTACGTCCATTGGAAAAGGACGGACCTCAGTATTTGTGTGGCATCTGCTTCTTGAAACTGTGGCGTTTCTAGTGAGGCCATGAAGTCCCTGTAGCTAGTTTCTTTTTTTCTCAGGTATTGGTCTGAAACGGTCTAGAGATACAATCCGCAATGACATTCCAGATCAACATTTTAGTATGGCTGTATAAATGGACGTTTTAATAACGGGAAGGTAATCTATGTGTATATATATATATAGTTCTATCATGTTATATATGTATATAACTGTATATATACAGATGGGTTTTCCATTGTCATGTTTGGTTACCGGAGGGTGGGAAAACGTCTTTTATTCAAACAAAGATATGTTTGCATATCATTATCTTATAGAGTTTTATGCCAGTCTGCAAGGAGTGTTGCTTTCAGACAACAAGTTAAGTAGCCTTATAGTACACATCCTTCGGGGAATGCGCCTGATTTTTTAGACCAAAAATGGCAGTCCACCTTGAACTACTGGGACTGCGGTGCATAGACGGCTGTGTCGTTTTGTGAGTTTCAATGTATAGGTCGCCACTGTGTGAAGAACACCGTTACAGTGGTTTTCACATGCATCCAAATTTTGGTGCTTTGATAGTGGTTATTACAGGCTAAAGTTGCAAAACATGTAGTTTTGCCACAACGAGGTGTTACTTTTCACGGTTTGTGACGAAACTACTTCGGGCCCGCATCATTTTTTCACCATGGCGTTGGTCACAGCAATTCTTCCAGCTTTGCCAGAAATTTCTTTGGTGTAGTCGTTCCGAGACTTTGTCAACAACACCACATGGATATGTAGTCAGGAACACTGGGGTGCGTCTTACTGTGCCCTTTCTCTTTGTACTTTAGGCACATGTCACATGTGCTTTGGCCAAAAGTCTTTCAAATTTTGCCAATTTCTATCTAATATCCGTGTCCCTGCAGTTCTAACGAACAGGACATACAGAAGTGAATTTTCTGACTTGGTGAACTACACATTGCACTGGGATTCTACGAGCTTCGGCTGCAGCGGGCCATGCTTTGTTTCCATCTGGACACAGGTAGCGCATGCAGCATCCGTATGAGAACGCAAAGCGAATGACGGTATTGCACCACCCCACCCCCAAAAACGTGCAAAAAAACTACAAAACCACACGGCCGTCTACGCACCGCAGGCCAACTACTGAAATGGCACATCTAAAGAATCACTACCTAGGATGACTGGGGGTCTGACGCCCTCTAAAAATCATGACCCAGGCAACCAACTACAAAGAAAACAAAAAACACGAATACAAAAGCACATCTCTAAAGAATCAGGGTCCGCGTTAGCCACGTGGATGCCACAAAACATTTGAATCTTGTTGCCAATCTTGTAGTCTGTTTGATTCATCTGTAATACAAGCGATGGCCGGCACACAACAGCAGTTTTTGCAAATTTAATAAAATCCAAAGGCAGGTCATTTGGCCCTCAAAATGCCTTCTCTAAGAAATCATGACCCAGGAACACCCAGGATGCCTCTGCCAAAAAACGTTGAGTCCAGGTTAGCCATGATGTGGAAAACAATTTTTTCTACCCAAAAAATTGGACAACTCGGGTTGTCTGATTCTTTAGAATTCCTCCCCAAACATTCCGAAACATCTCAAAACACTATAACTCGGCTAATCTGAGATGCCATGCAAAAAACAGAACAACAACTCGCAACTCTTTGGCTGGCTAATATGCATCTATACAATTGTATACATAGACTCCCATAGATATCTATACAGAGAAATATCCCATTTGTATACTGAACCTCCAATCCAAGGTTTACCCGTGACTCATTTCACATCTGAATTAGACTAAAAATTCATCTAATCTGACATGGATTTGGTTGACAAGTAAACCAAACTGTAGTAAATGGTAACATTTGGTAACTCTACCCTCTGGTAAACTAACAGTTTGCTATTGAAAATGGCCATAGAAATAGTGAGTTTTCCCATTAAAAAGGGTGATTTGCCATAGTTTTTTGTATGTTTACCAGAGGGTAATAGGAAATTCTGATTACACCATTGGAGAGGCTGCCCCCCTGTCGACGTCGACTAAGTCGACGCACCGAAGTCGGCGATTTTGTCCGAAGCTTCGACGGCGATTCTCTATCATACCATGAATTGGCCAATGGTGAAAATGGTGAACACTAAAGGACCCTTAAAGGAATAAAGGTAACTTGGCCTGTCCTATCTCTCTGGATCCGAATTCCGTATTGCTTCCATCCTCTTTGTTGCGTATTTTAAGCCCTTCGTTGATGATGATTTCGACCATGTGCTGCACAACTGAGTACGGTTTGACATAATCATGTTCAAATTATATCCATCGAAGCCAAAACACGCCATGTCATGTATATAGTAGCCCCAAAAAGATAGAACAAGTACTGTAATTCATCCCTCCCAAAAATAGAACACTAATTTATATGAATCACTATTTTTACTGTAGTTCATCACAACATATCACGACTATCCCAAGAAACATCATTGTAATTCATCACTATCCCAAGGATTTACAGTTCAATGCTTCGTCGAAGGCTTGCTGTAAACTTTCCACGCTACCCTCGCAGCCCAAGCCTTTGCGCGCAACAGACCTGTGGAGCTGTGGATGTTCATCTCCAAAATCACCATATAAGGTATTTTTGTTTCCCATTCCCACATGGTTGTTGTTTATGGCATTGAATTTCCCACGTTACTAGAGATGGGGATGTAAAGCTCTTTTTTTCCGGAGTAAAGTAATACTCCTATTTCTAGGAGTTCATCTTCATATGCCCTTCTTGTACAATGCAAGAAGCCAATATCGGCTCATCATTGCTGGTTTTTCATTGCGGATCTCAAATTCAGTCGGTTACAAGTACGTGTCGAGCCTAATCAATGGTAACATCCCCAGTTAGTAAGTGCTTTATTAGCAACATCCATATATCGTCATAGATCACACATAGATCATCATATATATATATATATATATTAATGGCTAAATTGAAAGAATTCACCAATCTGAAAACAGCTGTTATTATACGGCCATTTGGGGATGTTTCCCCCATACATATATATCATATATATATATATATGTATATGTATATATATATATATAAACCATCATTCAAGTGACGTCACGACGCCTCCATATACTGGGTGAACAAGCTTAACAAACACCCCGGATTGATTGCTGAATGACAAGATGTGTGTTTTCTATTAATCTACCATCCAAAAATGGTCATTAAAATACAACTAAGATTGGTACCCCCCAAAAAAACTGCCGGCGCCAAAATTCCAGGGTTAACATTAATGTAGGGGTTTACTATGCTATTGTATCTAATATCTATTGAGTATTGAGGTCTGATATACTTACATATTCCCGATTGTCATCTGAGTAAGCATAGAATTAATTTAAAAAATATACATGCATTCAATATTAAAAATCAGAAACATGGCACCCCCCACCTCCGAAAAGATACGAAACGCTGCAAAAAAACATCAACCAACACCTTGGAAATAATTGTCCAGTAGAAATAACGAATACCATGGATAGATACAGTGGATGGAATAAATCCTGCACCAGTTGATAGGTGGTTTATCCCATTATTTATAGGGTTTCGACCATCCAAGGTGATGCAGGATTTCTTTCATCCACAGTATGTAAGGGTTCTATATATATATATATATATATATGGATCCCGCATATCTGTTGTCCTCCACCCGCTTAAAATTGCCCGGCCTATGCAGCCAATACCACTGATGGTCGCCATCAGCATGGCCAAAGGCAACGAGAAATGCCGCACCAGCTGCAGCAGAGCCTGCAGAAAAACCAGCCACTGATACAAAAAAGGTATCTATGGGGGTTTAGTAAGGAAATTCATTTTATGGGGATTTAGTAAGGAAATTCATTTGATTTACCCTCTTGTTATTTAACATAGCCATGGAAAATGGCCCATAGAAATAGATGGTTTACCGAACTTAAAAATGGGTGGATCTTTCCATGGCAAACTGTGTGAATGTCATAACCAGAGGGTACTATACCCTCTATATCTCCCATAAATCCATGTTCTTCCCATTAAAAATGGTGGATCTTTCCATGGCAAACCCACATGGTAATAGGATTTTTCAGCAACAAGCCATGGTGAAAAATGCCACCAGAAACCATGGCTAAATCAGATGGGACCATCCCAAGGGGGAAAAACAGCAGCCACCAGGGTCCCCATTGGTATGTGCAAATGCCAAAGAAAAACCCTGTTTTCTGAAGGGAGTGTTTACTATTGTTCAATATTAGGGGGAAGGAAATCATTCAATTGACTTGGAAATAATATTGACTATACTGTTGTTTGCTATTGTTCAATATTAGGAGTATTACTCATTCTGACTGGTGAAGGGTGTGTTTACTTGGAAATTGGGAATTTCACCAGTCAACATGAGGATTTAATGGTGGGACCCCCGAACGATAGCTAAGTTGGTAAGCATAACTTGGTGAAAACTGGGGAATGGGGAATAGTATATGTGTAAGCTTCCCATAATTTTCCCACACTACCACGATTTCGGCAGTGTTACGGGAACATCATGACACAAAACACCTGATAGATACTTCAAGGGGACAGGAAATTTACTTGAAGCTGAGACTAGACATATACAATCTGGGGCCCAAAAACAATCGTTGAGTTGGTAATCATAACTTGGTGAAAAGGGGATATAGCTATAGTTTCTATAGTTAATGGGGTTAAAATAAAACACTTCATTGGAGAGCCCACCTTGTACAATCATATATTTCTCATCTTATGTAACTTCTGTACTCCCAACACATTGCGCAATGCTGAATCAACGATCGTGAAACTGGGCATTCAATCCACACGAATGAGGGCAAAGCAAACTAGCTGGTTTGGGAAAACAATCTGGACAATTTACAGTACCTCACTAATTACCAACATCAAACCAATTGAATGGATAGGCGGAAACGCCTATACCCATTTGCAGAGTCAACATTTGGTGAGATATCAAAACAAAAACTCCATTGATGGTTTCAAGAATAAGGGTTCCAAAACAAACATGTTACCATTGCTTCCCCAGACATTTACCACATTATTATATATGACTGGTAGGTTATATCCCCATCTTCTGTTACCCTCTGGTAAATTAACATAGACCCTGGCAGATAGGGGTTGGAAGATTAGTTTCCATTAAAAATTGCTGATTCTCAGGGTCTATGTTAATTTACCAGAGGGTAATCAAATCCTCCGTTTATATAGTTCGATGAGTTTTCCAGTAACACCTCCATTTATTGATGGGATTTTGCATAGCCCGCCATGATGACACTGGAGAGTAACACCCATAACTATCAACGAATCATACGTTAATGACTCCATATAGTGTCCCATGATTATTGGTAAAACCCTCCATTACTCACGATTTAAAAATGATTGGTGAATCACAATTTATCCATTGATGATCCATTATTGTTATCATATACCCCATCAAAAATATCCAATTCATCCAAAAAATGATCGAGTAAATATCCGATTAACTATCTATTTACTAGTTCTATCATATATCCCATATATCATCATATATCATCATATATCATCATATATCATCATAGATCATCATAGATCATCATAGATCATCAATATATAATCATATATCATCATATATAATCATATATCATCATATATCATCATATATCATCATATATCATCATATATCCCACTATATACTATATAATCTATCATTCACTGGTTGGTGGTTTTAACATGTTTTAACCATCTTGAAAAATATTGGTCAATGGGAAGGACTATCCCATATATTGTGGAAAATAAAAATTGTTTGAAACCACCAACCAGTTAATATACCCTTTATATCCCCAATAAATCCATCTGGGCAAATTATAATAATTCACTTACCTGAAATAAGGCCATTTGGGGATGATTCCCCTTATTAACTATGATTTCCAGTGAGGTCGCAGTGAGGTCGTTATAATTTACCCAGATCCATGATTTTCCTCAACTCCACATGCTGTGACAAACACCTCCAAAGGTCCGGGGAGGGTGGCGGCGAGGCAGCGAATCAGCAGCAACCTGGCAGCTGGGAAAACCATAGGAAAACCATAGGAAAACCATAGGAAAACTATAGGAAAACCACAGGAAAATGCTGATTTAACCAAGAAAAATGCTGATTTCATGGGATTGAATGGTGATAATGACATTAATCAGCATTCATCCCTTTACCTGTTCATATCTCCCCGTGGGAATAGAGACACATTTAATCCCATCCCAATATCAAAACACCGCCATTCCATGGTCCCAAGTGCAAATCCCTAAGAAAAACCTTGGTTGAGTGCTTACTATTGTTTAATATTAGGTGAAAGGGATTGGTTGGAAATTGGGAAAATCACCGACCAAAATGTGGATTTAATGAATTTATGATTCAATGGAATTTATTTACAGTGATTTATATAAGCAACAAAAACGCCATATAGACAAGGTGGCTCCCCATAGATAGCTAAGACTAATATAACAAAGGTTTATAGCAGATATATCCAGAGTTAATTCGGGTTGCAAACCAACTGGGTGGGGGGCACATTGCAGTAAGCAGAACATATGGGGATATGGCAGTATAGTAGGGATCTCTTTTTAAACGGAATATACCCAACAGAGATGTTTCGATTTTTTTCAAAACGATCCCACCATCCGGTGCTGGCCATCCGTGTCTTCAGGCCCGAAAAAATCCTGGAGGGTTTCATCGACATTTTCCTTCAAACCAATGCTATTGTATACCCTCCAGTATTCCAACATGGGACTGGGAATTTCCTGCCAAAAATTGGAGGATCTTTCAAACAACAGCACCCCAGCACTCCCGGTCTAACAAAGGATACAAAAGGCCTCGCAAGCGTTCCGCTTAGATTCAGCCTCAGTCCGCAGTCCGCATTGTATGTTTCTCCTGCGTTTCCCTCATAGTTCTGGGAGCAATTCCGATTCAAAGCTGCGAAGTATATCTCCAAGATATCCAAGATCCCAGATATCCCAGATATTTAAACAAGCAATCAGATCTGCTGATCTCAGATATCTCCCCAAGAGGTCAAAATATCTCAAGTCTGTGGGGCCCCGAAGATGAATGCTTAGTACAATCAGGTCTCAGCCACACACAAATGCTGATGTGCAGAGTATTTCAGAATCGCATAGAATCACCTGGGACCATAGAGAAAACTAATGTTAAGGAATGATTACCTTAAATCGCCAGCATTACTTAATCTTTGGACCAGTGACATTGTTACTAACTATCATATTGTTGATTTTATGGGTATGCATACTGTATATATATATATATATTATAGTCAAATTATAGTCCCATCAAATCCTCACTAGCTGCTTGTTTCTCCAATTATGCTCCATTATCTCACCAGCATTCATGATTTTTCCCACATTTCATTCTAATTCCATCTATTTCCACTATACAAGCTAATATCCATACTCATACATTACAAATTTATAATATACGTACACATAGTGTTCCATGACATTCCGGTCATGTTCCCATAGTTCTTGTTCAAAAACACATTTAAAAGAAAACACAAATTGGGTTCAATATACTTAAAAAGAAACCATGAAAAATACATCTATCCGATCTTATCATACATGTTGGTGAATAAATCTTCCTATCATGGGTTATATAGCTCATAGATGTTCATAGGTTCCAATAAAACCATTGGATAGTCTATACCAGCCTGGAAATATAAGATATTTAGAAGGATACCCTCTGGTAAACTAACATAGCTATGGAAAATCACCATTTTTAATGGGAAAATCCACTATTTCTATGGCCATGTTCAATAGCTATGTAACAAATTACCAGAGGCTAGTCCTTCCAAACCATCCCAATCCATCCCTCCAAACCATCCAAACCATTGGACTATTTGGACTCACTGGACCCTTGAAATCTCCAGCAACTTTCACATGTTGAAATCTACTGGAGATTATTCCATTAATATTGATACTCACATATTCCCATATATTCAGGACTGTCCATAAAAATATGTTCATACATTCCCATATTCCAATTGATATATATATATATATATTCAATTGATATATTCCATTATATTCCCATATTTCCATTGTTTATATATGGGTTTTTCCTGTAAATTTTCCCTCATGTAAATCAATCCATTGACACCAACTTTCCAGGCCAAGTCGCGCAAAGAAGACTAATGGCGTCATCCGCGAGGCACCAGCCAAGAGGCAAACCACAGCACCGGGCCTAGGCACTGGGAGGTTACCAGTTGGCAACCGTTAGGTAACTATGAAACGCTGTAAATCATGGGATTATAAGGGGATAAACCTGACCTAATATACCAACTGGTGCAAACTGTTGCAACTATCCACAATATTATTACGACTATTAGTTAATATCACAATTTAATTTAGTTCATACTATTACTCATATTAAGTAGAGTAATCTATTACCATTGCCAATCTTAGATACCCTGCAAAAAAATGTTAGCTGGTTAGCAGGAATTTCTATTTATAGCAAAAGATTATTCAGGATTCAACTACCCAAGGTTTACCTAGTCACTAATCACTCATATACCAATCTCTCTCTATTGAATAGTTAGGTCAATAATTGCTAGTAGTAACATTGTTACCGAGGTTGAGTTGACCCCCTAAATATTCATCTCTATTGCTACTACCCTCTGTTAAACTAACAATTTGCGAACTGGAAAATCACCAGAAATCTATCGGCAAATCGTCGAACTATTTTTTAGGATGTTCAATAGCTATTAATGTTATAGTAAGTCAATACTACATACTATTATATTATGGCTATTAGTGTTCGTATAATTACTATTACTACAGTATTGCTATTATTGTATAGGTATTTTTCTCTGGTAAACAAACTAATACTAACTATTATAATAGTAAGTATATTAACTATTACTATTACTATTTCTATTATTACTACTAGTAATATTACTACTTACTACCATTACTGGTTGGTGGTTTCAACCATCTTAAAAAATATTAGTCAATGGGAAGGATGACATCCCATATATTGTGGAAAATGAAATTCATGTTCCAAACCAGCAACCAGATGTATCTGAAAAACTAAATAGTGATGATCTAAAAAAACATCATTAAAAGGATATCTGTGATATAAATGGTAGGAAACTTCCATGGAAATGGATAATAGTAATAATAGTCATATCAACGATGGAATACACCAGGAGCAGCTGTGCCCCAGTTACAATAATATGTCCTCCCTTTTTGTAGTGGAAATACCAACCGGCATATAATAATAATAATACCCTTTTTGTAGTGGACATTTCCATGGAAATGGATAATAATAATATATAATAAATATAATCATCATCATACTATTAGTAATATTACCATTTACATAACCATTAATGCCATTAATAGTATTATAGATACAGTAAATAACCATATAGTAATATTACCATTTACTACCATATATTAGTAATATTAATAATAGTAATATTAGGATTAATACCATTAATGAGTATATTAGAACTACCATAACCATAGTAATATTAGGATTAATCTGAATAGTAATATTAGTAATATTAGTAATAGTATTATAGATACAGTAAACAACCATAGTAATATTACCATTTACTGTAATATTATAGAATATATTCATATATTAGTAATACCATGGTAATATTAGATACCATTTACTATGAATAATAGTAATATATTATAGATACCATATATTAGTAATATTACCATTTACATAACCATTAATGCCATTAATAGTATTATAGATACAGTAAATAACCATAGTAATATTATATCATTTACTAATAATCTATAATACTATGGTTATTACTAGGGTTAATACTATGGTAATATATACTATGAACTATAGTAATATATTATAGATACCATATAAATACTATATTCATATATTCTGGTATTATATACCATATATATTACTGACTATATACCATATATTACTTTTATTATATTAATACCATGAATAATTATTAGTAATATTACCATAGTAATATAACCATAGTAATATAACCATAGTAATATTACCATATATTAGTATACTACCATTTATTACCATTTACTACCATATTAATATATTAATCAGACTAGTATATTATTTACTACCATATTAATATATTACTACCATGTATTACCATTATTTACTACCATATATTAGTCAGATTAGTATAACCATATATATTACTGACGATATACCATATATTACTTTTATTATATTATAGATACCATATATTAGTAATATTACCATAGTAATATTATTACCATGAATAATCTGACTCTCCGAGCGGCTCCACGAGCACCGCCAGCGCTGCGCTCTTCGCAAAGGCGCTTTGGCAGCGCTGCAGCGAGGTTGCCAGGCTGGGCCAACGACGCTGGAGCCAACGGATGCCTTGGTCCTGCGAAAAAGGCTGGTGAAAACCAGGGGAAAATGGTGGTTTCACCAAGCAAAATGATGGTTTCACTAGGAAAACATGGTGGTTTAACATGGTTTAACATGGTTTAACCAGTAAAAGTCAAGATTTTGCTCACAAAACTTAGTGCGATTAACCCATAGAAATGGTGTTTTTGCCCACAATGATAATCTCCTTGAACAATTGCACAGAATGGTGAATTCATTTATTTCCCGCATCTGGGTTTAACCCTGAATCATTGAGGATCTCAGACTCAAAAACTTGGATTCTACTCCACAATTTGGAATTGGTGATTTACCCTCTGGTAAACGTTTACATAGCTATTGAACATGGCCCAGTCGATAGAACGTGGATTTACCCATTAAACATGGTGATTTTCTATAGTTTTTTGTATGTTTACCAGATGGTAATCATCAAACATGGGGATCTAACCAACCTATTCTCCAACTGAGCCCTTCATGCCCCTTAGATAGTCGTCCAGTCGGTTGATCCTTCGGCATATCTAAAGAAACAACTGGATTTGCAGTGTCAGGAAATGGTTATAACATGTTATAAGCCATAAATGTTTTCAAACACGGATATTCCATACCTATCCATGTATATACCCTCTGGTATTTTAACATAGCCATGGAAAATGGCCCATTTATAGATGGTTTACCTATTAAAAATGGTGATTTTCCATGGCTATGTTAAATAACCAGATGGTATATATATATATACACACAAATATAATAATTATACAATATCCCATCCCCTGAATGGTCGCAAATATGTGGAATTCAGTTCCCTACGAGTACGTGCTAAACTCATCTAAACTCTATGGTATCTGGGGGGGTGCTTGAATCAGGGTGAAGGGAACATATAATATCATATATATATATATGCAGAATTAATTAAATATAATCTGGTTGATGGTTTCAACCGCTCTGAAAAATATCAGTCAGTTGAGGTTGTTATTCCCAATATGATGGGGAAAAAAATCAACATGTTTGAAGCCACCAATCAGTAATTATATATATATAAATATGGGGTATAACAGTATATAACATAGTTACCCTCTGGTAATTTAACATAGCTATGGAAATTGACAATTTTTAATGGGAAAACTCACTATAAATGGCAATTTTCAATAGCTATGTTAGTTTACCAGAGGGTATTTCCCACTTAGTGGATATCGTTCAGTGGACCCCCCAGCTTTTGAGAGCCACCCTGGAGGCGGATCATCCCACTTTTTTTGTGACTCCTGGGTGCTCCGCTGGGAGCTTTTCATGGGAAAAAGATGGAAATTTTGGGCCCCCGCAAGTGATGTTTGTGGGTTTATGTGGGTTTATAACCCCATCTAAATATAGTTTTTTGAGATGTTGTAAGTAAACAACACACTATTGTTATTATAGTTTGAAACCAACTTGTAGTAAATAACTATGGGGCCCCATCCTGTGGGAAAATCATCAATGGCGGATTTTCCACGGCTACCTTTGAGTACCGGAGGTTATAAATGGCATGGAACTTGTAACCCCACTTGGCCACTGGCCAGTTACTTTCTTCTCAGGGTGACCCTGCAAGTAACTTATATATAAGTTGTTTACAACCCCCATGACTATGAATTCTATATAGTAACCCGTAACACCCCCAAGAAAAAGAACAAAGCTAAATTCCCACCCAAAATCTCCCAAAATAGTTTGGTCCATCACTTGAAAATCACGACTCTTTGTCATTTTGGGCCACAAAAAAAAGGCCACCAACTTCACCCCACAATCTCCACAGACTCACCGCCCTGCTCTTTTCGACTCACCGCGGACTCACCTTCCCTTCGACGGCCTCTTTGGTGCCTTCCAGAACGGTGAACTGAATGGCACCAGCCACGATGCCACGCGCCAGGCGCCAACCAAAACCTGCGGACTCCAGTTCGATGGTTGTGGAAAAATGTTGATATGTTGATCTAAGGTGATAGGCAGGTTACCCTCTGGTTATTATATAAACATAGCCATGGAAAATGGCCCATTTATAGATGGTTTACCTATTAAAAATGGTGATGTTCCATGGTTATGTTAAATAACCAGATGGTAAGTTATGTTAAGAGTTAAGATGATGATGTGATATATTTATATAGGAGAAATCATATGAAATCTCATCCTTCTGTCGGTAGCCATCATGCTGATCTAACAAAAGTGGGATGACAAATCGCACTAATTAATATGTATCGTGCACTAATGCTGAAACCCAAACTCGTGACATTCGCTACCAAATGATGCTGGATTGAAATGAAATCTATGAGGGACATTAATGGCTATTAACATCTATTAACCCAAATTGATCAAACTCTTTGTTTAAGAATCAATGCATTCACTGCACATGTCGATGTTGAGTCGGATACGCTCAGATAAATCACCAATCAAGACGAATCCATGTTCATCCATTGAGATCCAGGCTGGACATCCGAAAAAACTTCTATTACCCTCTGGTAATTTAACATAGCTATTGAAAATGACCATTTATAGTGGAATTTCCCATTGAAAATGGTGATTTTCTATAGTTATGTTAGTTTACCAGATGGTACTTCTATTGGTTGTACATTGATTTACATCGATTTACATCAATGATCCATTTACCCATTGACATCAACTAAACATCCCAATAGCTCATCCATCTGGGTAAATTATAATAGTTCACTAATCTGAATGCTTCGGCCATTTGGGGATGATTTCCCGAATCTTAAACATGAATCCAGGCTTCGGAAAAAAACAGGCTTCGGTCGTTCGTGATGAAATTTACTCAGAACCATGAATCATCATCTATCGACATCCAAATCCCATAGGATCCATGTATGCTATATATGGTAACATTTACCATCAATATACCCCAAATGTTAGCATATATAATATATACCAGCACCATGGATCCTATGGGAATGTCCAAGTTAGAACATCCATAGATCCAGATGTCCAACCTGACCAGATCTTTTCAGAGTCGCCCGTGTCGATCAACTCCTAAGCGGCGCGCAAAGGGCCGGTTTTTTAACCGGTGGCCGTAGCCTAGCCGGGTAGCCGTTGAGTCTATAGGTGGTGTAGCTGGATGGTGATTCCTGGGAATATGGTAAGTTCATAGGTAACTTGAGCCATGTCTATCTTGACTATCTTGGATCTTGCTGTCGATTGATGGGTTGATACTACGGGATGATGTACTGGAGCAGTGAGAATAGGATATTCCATCAGGTCTCCGACATGGTTGATCCGGTGGATGGTTTTTGGGATGGATTTCTCTATGATTTCACAACCTTTTGGGACAGCTTAATAATGATAACCTTTAAAGGTAAATTCTTGGTGAAACCTCCTGAACTTTATGGATGCTTAATGATGATTATATTAATGATTATGCAATGGACGATTATTGACTACATGACTGGTTGGTGGTATACCTACCCCTCTGAAAAATATGAGTTCGCCAGTTGGGATGATGACATTCCCAACTGAATGGAAAAATAAAAGCCATGTTCCAAACCACCAACCAGAGAAATATATGTTTGTATACGGATATTGTGGAATGAACATTGGGATTCCACCGAGAAAGGGAAATATAAGCAGGAAACAGTGTGAAACATGAGGGGTTTGACACGCCATGTAATCATGTAATCACCGGTGACACGCCGACTTCTATTCTCGATACTGTTCCGAAGATTCCCAGGATGTCCCACTGAAAACAGAAAAAACCTCTCCATCTGCCAAATATGGGCACTAATGGCAATGGAATCAATGGAATCAATGGAAATCCTAAGAGTTTATAATATGCATCTACCCTCTGTTAATCCAACATAGCTATTTTTCACATTTATAGTTGATTTACCCATTAATAATGGTGATTTTCCATAGTTACGTTAGTTTACCAGAGGGTATCTGGCTGAATTACAGTAATTCAGTCACCTGAAAATCGCTGAAACCTGAAGCCATTTGGGGATGACTCCCCCCATAATCATCCTTGCAGTGAAGTCACAGTGAGGTCATAAAAATTCATCCAAATATATGATTTACCATCTGGTTACCGTAGCTATGGAACAGGGGCCCATAGAAATAGATGATTTAGGATGATTTACCTATTGAAAATGGTGATCTCCCATAGCTACGTTGATAATCAATGGATCTGGGTAAATGAAATAATATTTCACTAACCTGAATGGTTCCGCCATTTGGGGATGATTCCCCGAATCTTAACCATGATTCCAGTGAGGGAGAACAGTGAGGTCCTTATAATTTACCCAAATATATATGATTTACTTTTCAAAAATAACGATTTCTATTACCATAGTTTGACTAGTAAAGGGAATACCCGTTGCTGCATCAAGTTGTTTTTTTGAGTCTGGAAACATGACTGCAAGTCTTAACTCCGAAGTAAGTCATGTTTGGGATGACTCCCCATAGTCAACTTTTGGCTAGTACATAATTATATATAGCAAAAGATTGAAGCATGAAACTACCCTCTGGCAATCAAACATGGCTTGCTGGAAATTACCCCATTTAGTTCCACAAGTTTCCCATCAAAGCCTCCATTTATAAGCATTTGTTTGCAGCTACCCATGTTTGATGACACCGAATGGTAAATCAATAATTATCCAATAGTTATCCATAATTCTCCATCGATTATCCATGATTGTTGCTTAAATTCAACATGTTTTGAAACAATACTTTAATACAAACTTCATATCTTCCATTCATACGCCATGAATATCCCAAAAAATCCAATAAAATACCACCATGTGTATCCATTTGTCCCATTTTGTCGACACCAGAAGATACCTATCCAGTCGGTCCTGCAACTTCTGCAGGACGTTCTTTGACTCTTTCTGCGCGCCTGCAGCGCGCTGGCTCGATAGGACACCTCCATAGGACACCTCCATATGACAGCCAAATGATATTGGATGGACCACAAAATATTCCAATATATTCCAATATCTATGGTATAATCTATGAACATAATCTGATATACAGTATACCAAATAATAGGCATTTCATGATATGCCATACATTTCACCAGAATCTATGGAAAATCACATAATCATGAATCATCAACAAACATGTGCTTCTTGATTTTCTTCAGCCACGATTCCCAAGTGGTGTACTATAACCTGGTTTGGTGGTGCCTCTCCAAATAATTGATCAAGCGAATTTTATTCACCCCAACCATCTACCCAATCATTTGACCCCAAGCACCATAAAATCCATGAAAATCACATGTTGTTAAGTTGGCTATTATATATATATATATATCCATATTATATCACGTGTCTGGCTCAAATCCCCATAAACCGGCTAAAATCACTGAAATAATCCATAAACCGTCTCCAAAAAAATATGATCACTGCTTGAAGTCACTGAAAATCCATCTACATCATTTAAAATCCTATGGAAAATCATGAAATCCAACACAAAATCATGATCCCCACTACAATCCCGGTAAAGTAACATATGGAACATGGCCCATTTAGTTCGTTGATTTACCTCTTCAAACTGGTCATGTTCAATAGTTTTTGATATGTTTACCAGAGGGTAGCATCCCCAATTTCACCATAAATAGATATAAATAGGTGGTATAGACACTTCCCAAGTGGGTGGTTTATTCCTAGCCTCTGGTAAACTAACATAGCTATTGAAAATGGCCCATAGAAATAGTTGATTTACCTATCAAAGATGGTGACTTTCCATAGCTATGTTAGTTTACCAGAGGGTAAATGGTGTTTTTGTTGCTGGGGTGATACCCCCATCGCCAGAGATCCGGGCCTTCCACCATGACCTGCGTTCGCACCACGTCCAGCGGCGTGGTCACCGCGTTGCTCCACAGCGTCGCCAGAGCGCCGGCCGTGCCGGTGGGGAGGGATCCTGGTGGCCGGGGTCGTTGCCAAACATGCAGGATGGGGCCCAGTTCGTTAGCTAAGTTGGTTTATAACACAACAATAGTGTGTGAAACAGCAACAGTCTATGATACACTATAATAAGTATAATATCAATAATGGTTGCCAAACATCCTGATTTCATTCCAATTCAACAGAGGTGTAGCAGCCTGCATGAAGTTGGTTCCAAGAATGACAGCTGTTCATCTGGTGCAGTGGGTTGCAATCGGAAGGATACTGATTTCAGGAAGAAAAATGATGGAACATGTATATTACATGTATATTACATATATATATATAGGTGTTATAAGAACAATTTCGGCCACTGCTGGGGATGAAAATCTTGGGATTTTTCACACTTTTTTCCGGCCAGAAAAAATAACTGGCCTGGGAGATTTTCGCCAATGAGTCGATACCGCTTACGAAAGGCTGACCGAGACTCTCACAGGTATCACGTAGAAAAACGTGTGGTATACTATGATAAAACACATTCACCAAAAAAAACTATGATCACATAAGTTTGGCGATATTCAAAAGTGTGGTTTAAACCATCTGTATTCACCTACTACAACAAGGATTCTTTGAGCCTGCTAGGGTGGTGGATGCTGGAATATGTTGGATGCTTCTTGGTGGGTTGCATCCATCCCTTTCAAAGCCTTCATGGGGCTCAGCCCAAGCTCTAGTCCCAACAGCAGCTTGTGGAATCCCGTCCCCTTTATGTTTTAATCAGTAGAACAATCCGATAGATCCCAACAGGGGAGATGATATGCTACCAGTGGGCTGAAACAGTCTGTCAAAACGGGCAACTTTGCAGCTCGTCATATGTCATAGGAATATGGTACCCATCAGGTGAGCCTCAGATATATCCACCATAAACCATAAACCATTGCTAACCTTAAATAGTTAAGCTACCATCTTAACCAACTAAACCTTTCCTTTGGCCCAACCTTGGTACCCAGCCATACCACTCACCACTTCAATATCCCCCGGAATCCCCTATAGGGTCCTGTGCTTTTCAATGCCTCAAAGGCCAGAAACTTGGCGAGGTCAGCCGGGAGTTTGTACAGCACCTGAGAAGCGGCGCTGTTCGAAATGGGGCTATGCATGGCTATGGGTGAGTCGACTGGGGCTTTAAGAAAATATCCTGACGCCCATACCCCCTACCGCCATATTTTTGGGCTGTGAAAATCCTGAAAATCCTGAAAATCCATGGATCATATTTTGAGGTTTCCGAAGTCATGCAGGTACCGCCAGTTGTTCGTCCAGTCGTCATGAATGATCATGACTTAGTATAGGTTACCGCATGGCGACGAGTGGGGATCCTCCATTTAAGAACCCCCCAAGATAATGGCTGTGAATTGGGGGTATGGGTTCAAAATGACAATTTGCAAAGCTAGACCCTTGGCGTTTGCCAAACATCCAATGTGATGGGCCCGTTCTAAGTGTCCAACTGAACATCACCAAGCTATTTTTGGGATCAATGCCAATAACCATCTATTGAATGATGATTGAACTCTCAATATACCCTCTGGTTATTTAACATAGCCATGGAAAATGGCCCATTTATAGATGGTTTACCTATTAAAAATTGTGATTTTCCATGGCTATGTTAGTCATAACCAGAGGGTATACGAATTCTACTTTAAAAGATCATCTCGCTAGGGTCGTCTGCCAGTCACAGGCTACGGCATGTTCATAATTGCCATAGGTAGGGGCCCTGCTTGCCACTCAACCAGGCAAAGATTCCCCACACTGTGGCATGTGTGACCATTAGTAAACCCTCCGCCCCTGGAAAAAAGTCTTTCTGGCCTGGACCGCAATAATCCATCAGATTGTTTGTTCATACAACATGTTGACCAAAATCACACGCACCCATGCTTCTAGGTAAATTATCATATTTCACTCATTGCTAAAACCATTTGACTATTTTGTGACAGTTACCCTTCACAAATCCCAGTCCTAACCATCATTCCAGTGATGTTTGAAACATCTTTTCCCTTCTGACTAATTGATGTTTGTCCTCTGGAATTTCCTATGATATTCCAATGATGTTCCTTTGATTCTCCAATTTTTATACCACCATTTTCTAGTTCGAAAAGACATCTGTTAGACAGTATGTAATAGACTAGAACCTTCCTTTCACATGTCTCTTGGAACTAGATACCCTCTGGTAATTTAACATAGCTATTGAAAATGGCCATCATGATTTTCCATAGTTATCTTGGACCAGAGGGTTTTTCCCATGTCTTTCAAATCTATGGCCATGGTTTTCGTGGGCCCTTCCGGCCCGGCCCGGCCCTTCCGGCACGTGGCACATTCGCGCCATAGCCTCGATAAAGTCCCTGGAGGCCTTCCTGGTGCCAGGAACCAATTGGGATATATTTCACCAGTGGAAAAAGGGGGTTCACCAGTGGTTTAACCATCAATATATATATATAATGGTTATAATGATGGTTTAACATGGTTATTTGATGGTTTAACATGATGGTTATTTGATGGTTTAACATGGGTATAATGATGGTATAATGATGAGTTATAACCATAAATAACCATCATTATACCCATCAAATACCATAATATAATAACCCACAAATACCATAAAACCATAACCATAACTGGTTGGTGGTATACCTACCGCTCTGAAAAATATGAAAGTCAATGGGGAGGATTACCCCATATATTATGGAAAAATAAAAGCCATGTTCCAAACCACCAACCAGCAAATGAGGGTTTAACCAACGAAATCCTAACCATGATTCCAGTGAGGTCACAGTGAGGTCACAGTGAGGTCACTACAATTAATCCAGATACATCATCATTATAATAGGTCACTATATATTTACCATCAAATGGGGGGTTTGCCATCAATTTATCTGCAGAAATATGTCAGTGAGGTCACTATAATTTGCCTGGATGAATGGTTCTTAATCATACAGATATTAACCATTAAATTCATTGAAACAGTTGGTATTCACCACGATCCATGCTATTAATAGAATCCATTAACCATTATTAATCCATTAAACAGTTCGTGTTCACCACTATTCGCCACTATGAATGGCCATTAACCATCCATGTTTCTTATAGAATAAACCATTCACGGATTATTGCTGATTGGACAATTCATGGATTAACCACATGAACCATTATCAACCATGATTTATTCACATCATTAACCATCCATTAACCATCCATTAACCCACGCCTTCTCGAAGGCCGAGGTCAATTTCTGCAGAGATCCGTCCCAGGCCAAGGCCTGGCGCCAGGAAAACGCGAAACCGGGAGGAGGGTCACCGTGGAAAACGCTGGGAGAACAACTGGGGTATTATCTTAGCAGCTTGCCGAAGATGGAAAGGCCGCAGCTTTTTCCAAACAGAAACACAGATTTTTGGTTTGAAACTTGTCTTATCCATGATAGATATGATCTGGTTGGTGGTTTTAACCATCTTGAAAAATATTAGTCAATGGGAAGGATTATCCCATATATTATGGAAAATAAAACATGTTTGAAACCACCAACCAGGTGATATAGTGGTTATGTATAGATTACCAATGATTTTAATGTTGATTGATATCATGGATATGTAATAATATGATATAATGATGATATTCCGTGGTTTTTTGTCATGGATATATGACGGATATATGATAGAATTCAATAATTCATAGAATGGATATAAAGAACACGGGCCTGAACACGGACGATATTTTCATGAATGTTCAGGGGTTAAAAAATGGGGTTCTTCAATGTTTTTTTTCGTGGTCACGGGGAGATAGTGGTGATCTCGATACCAATGGATTGCATGGAAATACCATCTGGTTATGACTAACATAGCCATGGAAAATCCCAACCATAAATGGAGGATAATGGAGGTTTATAGCTGGGAAAATCATCTATAAATGGGCAATTTTTTCCATGGTTATGTTAGTCATAACCAGAGGGTACATGTAAAAAAATGCTGGAAACCATGGCTTCTGAGGAGAAACCCCCTCCACCAAACATCACCAGAATTTGACCCTGAAAATAACATGTTTTCCTGGTGGAAACTCATCTTCCAACCCAGCTCATGGGAACGGGTCTATGTGAACTTCAGAGAGGCTAATGAAATATGGAGGTTAACTCAGTGGACCAACAAGAACCCGGGAGATCTGTTTGAAAACTATGGAAAATCATAGGAAAATGGTGGTTCTATGGGAAAATCATAGGAAAACCATAGGAAAATGGTGGTTTTACCCTCTGGTAAACGTACAAAAAACCATGGAAAATCACCATGCTATTAATGGGTAAATCCACGTTCTATCGACTGGGCCATGGCTTCAATAGCTTTTTGTATGTTTACCAGGCCGGGTACCTTCTTTCTATGGCCAGAACCTAGAACCAATGGATTCAGAGTCGTAAATCCCTGTCCCCGAGAAAGGCATAAACACCCCCAAGTCAATCCTGATTTAGTACTGGATCTATTCGATCTATTCTGGCCCCAAATCAATGATGGCTTTGTCATGATCGGGGGATGGAATTCCAGCTGGTCATTTCCGTGCAACTGGCAAAGAAAATCAGAACAAATATCATCACAAATATTATATAATAATATGATATATATATATATATATAATTTGTGTATCATCATCTGGAATCATCTGGAATCATCTATATAACTAGGATCATAGCCTGCAACCCCAAATATGGCTTGTCTGAAAATAGTGTACCCCAAATCCACTGGATGATCATCATGTTCCCTATGGAAATAGCCGTTTAGGTCAACAAACCCCATCAGACCCCATTAAACCCAATAAAAACTCCTTCAGTATAATATATAAATCCAAAAAAGGCATGGTTGTAACTAGTTGTAACCCTTGGTTTATCCTTCATGGAAATCTCAGGGCGCCTGAGAAAACACCAGGTTTTTTCGTGGGATGACCATCGAGGGATGACCTACGAGTTTTGACCCAGACCCAGATGTCTCACCTTAGATCGCACTGTATCCCCATGTTTGTCGGATCTAGACCTTCATATCCGTATATATATATATATATATGATTATATAATTATATATATATAATTATATATATATATTAAATATTTATATTAAGGTTATTTAATCCATTATGGATCTATAAAACAATAATATCTAGTCCATTATCGATATTATGGATATGGATGTACCTTCATATCTATGTTATTTGATATTACCATCTGGTTGTGACTAACAGTTCGCCATGGAAAGATCCACCCATTATTGATAGGTGAACCATCTATAAATGGGCCATGTTCCATGGCTATGTTAAACCAGAGGGTATCACATATTATCGATATGACACTGTCTTCATAGATGTTCCGACCAAAATCTTCAGTGTCTGCTGTAACATGTCATGCATCTTGACCACTCCACCCTCACTGCTGCAGCCATGGAACCTCTCCTTTCGCAACACTTGCCATGGCTTTCGTTTCAGCCACGTCAAAAGGTGTTTTGATCGCCTAGTGAAAGGAGCGGTAGGGGAATTCCTGGTGGCAACAAGACTCGGGGTTTAACAAGGCCCTAATCTAGGCCGGCTAGTTGTAGAATCACCCATTTAGTTTGATGATTGTCCTATATATATATACGTACAATTACATACATACATATATATATATATATATATGTTACCATTGAAAATTGGATTTCCCAGCCAGCCATGCCAAAGTACCAGAGGGTGTTTTGAGGGTTGATGGAGGATGATGGGAGTAGATCTCTTCAATGAGCAGTTTCAAGAAGTGCCGTTGGTTTATGATTCTAGGGGGTTGTATCACTACCCAATACATTGGGATTTGAATGGATTAGCAGAATCAATTATTGACACTGCTCAACTGCGGGTAAAGGCGGGTACAAGTAATGTCCAGGAAACTAACATTGGCAGAGAAATATAAAGAATTGTAAACATATCCACCATTGCCATGATACTCACACCCAAAACCATCCGAACGGTGGATGTGGGATAATACAGCAAACAGCTGTGTGCTTCAAGATTCAACTGATGACAGTTTTGAGGTTGAAGTGCAAAATGTCCTTCTACTTTTCTATCCTGCAATCCATTCATGACTGGTTTGGACGGTTTGACCTTTGAAATGGTGTGTTAACATGGCTCCTTTGCCTTTCATATGAGAATATACAATTGTATACTTGTGCAAATATTTGCATGCAAATTCAATAATCTACATAGTAAACTGTAGGTGCACCAGCAAATCAACAAAAAAAAAGGTTTGTTCTCCACGGGGCATACCCTTGTCGTGGCCAGATTCCTTGCTCGAAACTCCATGAAATGTTCAGTTCTGGCTTCCCATCTGACCACATTCTGCCAGATGGTTCACCAAATCTCCACACACGCCTTACCCTCTGGTAATTTAACATAGCTATGGAAAATCACAATTTATAGTGGGAAAATCCACTATAAATCACAATTTTCAATAGCTATGTTAAATTACCAGAGAGTAACCCATTCGAAAACCGCTTCTTAACCATCATCCCACCACCGGTTTTCCCCCTTGGCCTTGGCGCACAAGACGCCGGCCAGCACGCCGCAGGACGTCTTCACCGGCTGCGGAAAGGTCTGCAAGACGCTCTGCGCGGCTTCTTTGGCCGCGAAGAAACTGGCGCTGCCTGCGCGAAGCGGGGGAGAATCATCCCATGGAGAGAGTAACTGGTAGAAATATGGAGAAATCTTGGGGAGGAGGATGATGATGATGATGATGAGGATGATGATGATGATGATGATGAATATAATATATATATATATCATATATAGTGTATATAATATATAACCAAACTAGTAATTTCCTAAGGTTCGCAACTGAGTTTTAGTTCACCTAGTTGTAGATATGATAACCAGTTGCGATTGGTGGCTTTTATCTGAGGTAGACCGGGAAAGTTTTTTTTGTAAGATGTTACTGCTGTATTGAACATATGGAGAAACACATGATATACCTCCTGGTAATCAAACATGGCACCTGAAAATCCATCATTTACAGCGGAATTTCCCAGCTATAAAACTCTATTGATCTTTTTTTCTTGTTGATGCTATGCTTGATGATACCAGAGGGTATAGTGACTCGAATGTGGATTCCATGGGCGAAACTCAGCCACAACTTCACCCCTATCGATTCGGGTCATCGATCGAACTTGGCTGGGAAGTCATCGATTCGTTTTAGATTGGATAAATGATATCTGGTTGGTGGTTTTAACCATCCTGAAAAATATGAAAGTCAATGGGAAGGATTATCCCATATATTATGGAAAATAAAAAATGTTTGAAACCACCAACCAGATATGTGATAGATCATGATAGATATACAAGTATTACCATCTGGTTATGACTAACAGTTCGCCATGGAAAGATCCACCCATTTTTAAGTTCGGTAAAGATCGGTAAAGCATCTATTTCTATGGGCCATTTTCCATGGCTATGTTAAATAACCAGAGAGTATGATAAATGGAGAAACTCATTATCATAATTTGTCGCCACTAAACAGAAAAATCTACATACAAAAACCATTGATGAATTTCTGCTTAAATTTCCCCTGAAAAGATATGAACACGTTCCCTTTGGATTACCCGGTTCCCAAGGATATCCCCCAAGGAAGATCACCGAAAGGCCGGTGGTGAACCACGATCCAAGATGGCATATTTGGAGCTTTTCTAAAAGTGGGGGTACCCCCCTTGTTATCCAAAATCATGTGTATATGGAATGGAATGTATATGTTGATATATGTATATATATATATATATATGTTTATGTAAATATATTGTACATGAATGTACATGACATATGAGGTATGGATGTTTCTTAAGTCATGGGGGTAACCCCCCAGTTCCAAGTCATTGGAGCGTTTTAGGTTGAGAACCGCGGATTCACAAATCCTGACCACTTTTATCTGGGGGTTACCCCAGAAGTTTTCTCAATTACTATGAAAAATATGTGTTCCCCTATTGTATTCGCCATGTATATCCATATTCGCTGGTTAAATCGTATTAAATCCTATTCAACCACCATTCTTGGTTGATTAAATCCCTTGGAAGTTCCATGAAATCCCATTCAATCACCAATTGATCACCATTTTTCTTGGTGAAATCCCATTCAATCACCTACAATGTGGGGCCCCCAGTTATGTTTGTTGGTTTATAAACCCCATGAAAACTATAGTTACAAATATAATCAACCATAGTTATTGGAGTGAAAAATTCCCAACTGAACGCTATCATAAATAAGTTTCAAAACCGAAACCAGAGGGTAAAACCACCATTTTCCTATGGTTTTCCTTTGATTTTCCCATAGAACCAGCATTTTCCTATGATTTTCCTATGATTTTCCTATGATTTTCCTATGATTTTCCCATAAAACCTCCATTTCCCCATGGTTTTCCCATTGTATTTCTAGATGATTATCCCCATTCCTCGGTCACCGAGGTGGTCCGCCTGGCGTCCCTGAGACCAAGGTGGGAAGCAACCCGCGGTAGACGTCTTTAAAAAGATCGCGCCGATCCTTGGTCTGTTGGAAGGTTGGGAAGATGATAGAAATGGATGAAGATATATGATATATATATATATGTATATCATATGTGTATATAAATTATTATATGATCACATTATATTGCATATTATACAGTAGATACAAATATTTATTAAAAATGGCTCATGGAGGACCATGGAAGACTAAATGCAAGGCTCCTGGGCAGAAAAAAACACCACGAATGGTTGAAGCCTCTGGTACAGTAATTGTTACATAGCTATGGTATAGATGGCCCATTTAGGTCGTTGGTTTACCTATGACAAATGGTAATTGTCCATAGTTATGTTCGTTTACCAGCGGGTATACGTAGCTATGGTATAGATGACCATGGTTGAATATGTCTGCGAATTCATCGAACATCATCAAACTAAATGGGCCAATGGGCCATCAAACGACCATAGCGCACTGTTATATTGCCAGAAGGTACATCCCCAACTATCATCTTGTTCGTATCTGTCCATTCTACCCATATCTGTTGATGAAATTCCCATGACATTCACATTGAAAGCAGCAAGCATTGTTGCTGCTTATATCAAGTCATATCCCAACCACCATGTTTATCCACATTTAGTTCACTGAAATTCTAGTTATGTATAATATATATATATATATATACAGACATTTATATACATAAATAAATATAAATATATATATATATGTACATATTTACATATACATATATATATGCGATTATATATATATATATCCAGTGAATATCCAGGTATATCCATGATATATCCATTTACTATCCAGTTATATAGATTACATAATGTAATGAATACATATCAACATATATCCAGTTGATCTCCAGAAATTACGGGTTGAGAACCCCACTTCTGCAGTGGAATCAGTTTTACTCAAGATTCAACAATCTCCTCAAAGAGAACTTTTCAGCTGTAGAGTCTTTGACCAAACATCCAACATACAACCAAAAACAGGGGCAGTAATAAGTTGAGAACCAGGTGTATCCAAAAAAAAAATAGATATACGATATACACTTAATCTCCGATATGTATGTATGTATGCATGTATGTAATGTAATGTAATGTAATGTGATGTGATGTGATGTGATGTGATGTAATGTAATGTAATGTAAGTTATGTTATATTATATTATATTATATTAGATTATATTATATTATATTATATTCTATTATATTATATTATATTATATGATATTATATTATATTATATTCTATTATATTATATTATATTATATATATTATTGTATTATATTATGTTATATTATATTATGTAATGTAATGTAATGTAATGTATGTATATATATATATGTATTTATAATTACATGATATCCAGTGAATATCCAGCTATGACCACCAGATCGAGCATCGATGTCATCGATGCCCCTGGCCACTGCCTGTGCCTGCAAGCGCGTCTTCACCTCACCGGGATGCAGCAAAATGGGAGAAAATTCAGGGCAAACAGTGACGCGGGAACCCTTGGTTTTTCAGTGGTTTCTTGAGTGGCAAAAAGTGGTTAGTGTTGTGGTTACTGTGCTATTGGGTGTCATCTTATGAAATGACGTCAGTGGATTGCTTTAAGGGAAAAAACCATCAGAAATCATGGATTTTACCACAACAGCTACCAATTTGCGGTCAGATAACCACCATTTTGACATCTAAGAATTGAGAGGTTAACATTGTGAGCCATTATTTCAACATCATCTTTTGGGTGTTTTTTGTTTACACTTTACACTATTTCGACTCTCAGCTTTTCTGGGGGTGAATCACGATAATTCTCAAGCAACAGATCCGGAATTTGATGTCCAATACTGCCAAAATGTGAACATCATCTCCAGACCCGAAATAATCCGCATTCATTTTTTGCAGCCTGATTGATTGGAATCATCACAATTTGTGCATTGGGAAGAGGAGGCAATATCAAAAAAATGCACAGTCAGTTCTTTCCCTTGAAAAACACCCTGTTTCTCAGGTCCTTTTCTCCACTTTGCTAACGATTTCGTCCCCGTGGGTTGCTTCGGTTCTCTCGTTTTTTTGGGACAACAACCTGCGAACCGATCCATTGGCCGTACCTACCATTTTTGGCCAAGGCAACGGCTAAATTTCAAGGAACATCTCCACAAAATATCGCCTAAAAAATGAATAAAAATGGTACAGCACCTCCATTTTGTCCTGAAATTCCCACTGAAAATTGGCTGTGGCACCAATTTTCAGACGGATAACCCCTATGAATACTTCGCTTACCAACCCCAATGTTCCCTAGTGATCAAGCCCGCCAAAAAAATCACATTCTGCCTATATGAAACCTCCATATTATTGTAGACCCATTTTCTAGAGATATGTTGCTTCATCACTGAAAACCACGAAAAAGAAGCAAACCCATACTATATATATAGTATATGCCATTGTTTCACATGGTTGTGTGTCCAAGTGTACAACCCAAAAATCCGACCGAACAAAACTCATGATATACATTGATATTCATATACTATGGTATGTACCATTGATATTCATATACTATGGTATACCATATATGTTATAGATCACTGTTAACTTACCAAACCGTTCTACCGTTCTTCCCCGTGGTGAAAAACCCGTCCCGGCCGTGTCAAAGGGATGAAGAATCAGCTGCTTCACCACATTTTGGGAGATGCCTTGGATGGCACCACCTGAGCTGTGAGCCATGAATTGGACAGTGAAAAAACATCTGGGTAAATCATATCTATGTTTAGTAACATTACGGGTAACATTGGTAAATATGATCTTTATTTGGGTAATATAATTAATATACGAACATTATGGGTTATATCTATGGTTAGTATATTACATCATAGTATGTATATATATATATAGTATCTGGGTGAAGATATCATCATGGTTAGTATAATATATATATAACATGTATAACCATGGTATCTGGGAAAACTATCATACTTCACTAACCTACATATATCATATATTATCATATAGTTACCACTTACATTTACCATCAGTCCAATGACGTCGCGACCTGGGTCGTTATACTTTAACACAGATACATGGATGAGGCTGGATGCCTTTTATTGCCTTTTATTGTGTCACTGGTATTTGCTTTCTGGTTGCCTTGCGGCCTTTGTATCCATGCGCATGCAATTTTCCAGTTCAGTGTATTTGCTGGACAAGGTCCCCGAAAAGCTCACCTGCAACACTCAATGTTGCAGCACATATCAGTAAAAGTCCAATGCATTTATGACTTACAAGAAAAACATCAACAGGAGTCTGACTCCACAAACCCAATGATCTGTTTCCCATAAAAAATGCATTTGCTCCGAGCACCCCAACGTCCCCAATGTTGCTAGGATCTTCAAAAAATGTTGCTTGGTTTCACGTGGCGCGTTGAACTCATGAGCAAGTAGCCCAAAACAAAGGCTAAAAATCAACTATTACCAGTCCACATGTCGGTTCTCACTTTTGTTGGATGAAATCCCGCAATTCCCAAGAATCCATGGATGATTTTCCATGGATTTTCCTATTTCTGTTGATGAACACCAAATTTCTACAGGATGGCCCCCCCCAGTTATAAGTTGGTTGATAAACCCCATTAACCATAGTTATCTATAATTAGATCTACCAAATCTCTAGTGGTTAGATCTGCTTAAATCTTCATTTCTGATGGTGATCTCTCTCCTCAAAACTGCCGGCCAGGCCCCCGACTGAAGGCAGCGGCAAAGGGCGGAAGAACGTCGGCGCCAGCGCCTTCAAAAGGGCAAGCCATGGGGACTGGTGGTCCTATCCCACAGATATTTCTGAATATATGTATGTATATATATATATATATGTGCGTGATTGTATATGTATATATGTATATATGTATATATATATATGTATGCATGTATATATGTATATGTGTATATGTATGTATATATATATATATATGTGTGTATATATATATGTATATATATATATATATGTATACATGTATATGTGTATATGTATATTATATCTATACATGTATATATATGTATATGTGGATATGTATATATATATATGTATTTATGTATATAGGTATATATGTATGTATGTGTGTATATATATATATATATGTATATATATATATATGTATGTATGTATGTATACATGTATATATGTATGTGTATATATATATGTATATGTGTATATGTATATGTATATAATACATATATATATATATTGGGATTATAAGGGAAATCTAGGGCTGACTATTATTCCCAAAGATAACACAGATATTTGATGCTACTTGGGCTTGTCTGAAAATATATCAAACCCATAAGGAGCAATTTTTTCTAGGGACAATGATGCCATTCCATTGGAATATCGGGTAGCCTATGTAGTCCTATGTTCAAACAAACCCAGTTCTTAACATATTTCTGAATATCCTCTGATGTCCTCAAACATGGCTAGCTGGAAAATCCGGCACTAAATGGAGGTTTATAGCTGGGAAAATTATTGAACGAAATGAGAGATGTTTAATTGCTATGTTTAATTACCGGAGGTCATGGGTTTATAACCAACTAACAGTGGTTAATATCGACTAATAGGTGCTAATAATGTTGAATAGTGGTCAACTAAGCAACGTTGAGATTCATTTGTGTTTTGTTTAAATCCCATCCCCTAATATTAAGCTGTACTCACAATCCGATTGTATGGTCCCAAATAAGTGTAAATCCCCCCATTTGTTTCTTGGGGGTGTCTATTAGGGGAATGGGATTATTGTGATTAGACCAACCAAAATGCTGTAACCACAAATGCTGGGGGAAATCTGGATATACTGTATACTGGGGATATCATGGCCTAGAAGCCCTGGTTGAATATTGGGGTCCATGTGGATCTACATTGATCTACATGACTTAGTAACGCGGGTTCGTCCAATAGCAGTCAGCCGTGTAGCCTGGAATTTCTGTTTCACCATGGCTTTCTCCATTTGCCAGTTATCATTTATCATCTTGTTCATTTCCATTGCATCCATCCGTGTATATTATATATATACCTATTTATTTATTTATTTATCACCATGATAAGATATCCCCATTCATGATGATCAAGCATTCATTTGCTTTACCACCAGCCCACCTGTCGGTGCCGCAGCTTCCACAGGAGCAACCGTGGCCACCGACAACGTTGACAACGCGCCCAACAGAAAACCTGGCTTTTCTGAGGTGGAAATGGTGCAACCAGGGCTTTTTTTGGAACATCCCACGAATCGTTTTTCTGGTTAGTAGCCCTGGGTAGTGAACCCTAAGTTACCCTAAGTAGGTTTTATCCCATATATAAAATATATAAAGGGCTTATCACTTTGGTCACTAACCAGTGAACTGATCGATCCGTAGGATGATCCTCGGACACACTTTACGCAGCATTTGGGAAGAGACTTTACCCTCCGGTCATCAAATGTGGTAATGGAAAATGATCCATTTAGATTGATGATGTTCATGGATTTTCCCAGCTATAAACCTTCATTGAGTTTTTGGTGGCAACCACGTGATTACTGAGTATTATTGGGTCAGTGGCATGGGCGAAGCAAGGGATTTTCCGCCTCGTCTTTCGCAGCTGGCATCAAAGGATGCCTGGCCCACGAAAAAATCGGGGAAACCCATGGAGGAAGCCTATCCACATCTATGTTAGTTTACAGGGGGATAAGTCGATTCGCAAAAAAACGCCCAGGAGAGTCGCTACGTATGAAGCTAACCTCGCTTATCAATGATATACAGTAATTGATATGATCAATCAATGCTTTCTATCAATGGTGATGTACTGATATGTATATAATGTTTGCCTCTGATTAGAAGCCTGGTACCCTATTGTGAGAAATTTCTTGCTCCTAATTCAGTAACATGCTAATTGTTGGGGGGGAGCCTCTATTGTGAGAATTTTTTTCCAGATTTATTTTTTTTCATTTTTTTTTCCAAATGTTTTTTGTTTGAAATTAATTAATTACTTTATTTATTAATTTCTTTTTATTTTTAGTTTATCTATTTTTATTTTATTTTTTATTTTTACTTTTTACTTTTTCATTTTTATTTTAATTGTATTTACTATTGTTTCATTTTTTTCATTATTTCCTTTTTTAATTATTTTTTTTATTGCTTTATTATTCATTAAGATATTAATTACCCTATGAGTGGCTCAGTTACTCAATAATATAATTGTCTGGATGGTACTCTATTGTGAGCACCAACTTTTGGGAGTGAAAAAAAAAATAAAACCTTTTCTCCACCTTTCTTTGGCTAAAACTGGTCCCTTTACTTTAGAAGGCAATGTTTGTGTTAAAGCTTTAAAATGCAAGGTTTCCCAAATAATTAGATGCCTTATTAAACCCTTATTAAAAAACAGCATCCAGACAATTTTTCAAGGGGGTACCTCATGAGTGGCCCAGTTACTCAATAATATAATTGTCTGGATGGTACTCTATTGTGAGCACCCACTTTTGGGAGTGAAAAAAAATAAAACCTTTTCTCCACCTTTCTTTGGCTAAAGCTGGTCCCTTGACTTTAGAAAGCCATAGTTGTGTTAAAGCTTTAAAATGCAAGGTTTCCCAAATAATTAGATGCCTTATTAAACCCTTATTTAAAAAACAGCACCCAGACAATTTTTCAAGGGGGTACCTCATGAGTGGCCCAGTTACTCAATAATATAATTGTATGGATGGTACTCTATTGTGAGCACCCACTTTTGGGAGTGAAAAAAAAAATCAAACCTTTTCTCCACCTTTCTTTGGCTAAGGCTGGTCCCTTTACTTTAGAAAGCAATGTTTGTGTCAAAGCTTTAAAATGCAAGGTTTCCCAAATAATTAGATGCCTTATTAAACCCTTATTAAAACACAGCATCCAGACAATTTTTCAAGGGGGTACCTCATGAGTGGCCCAGTTACTCAATAATATAATTGTCTGGATGGTACTCTATTGTGAGCACCCACTTTTGGGAGTGAAAAAAAAAATAAAACCTTTTCTCCACCTTTCTTTGGCTAAAGCTGGTCCCTTTACTTTAGAAAGCAATGGTTGTGTTAAAGCTTTAAAATGCAAGGTTTCCCAAATAATTAGATGCCTTATTAAACCCTTATTAAAAAACAGCACCCAGACAATTTTTCAAGGGTATACCTCATGATTGGCTCAGTTACTCAATAATATAATTGTTTGGATGGTACTCTATTGTGAGCACCAACTTTTGGGAGTGAAAAAAAAAACCTTTCTCCACCTTTCTTTGGGTAAAGCTGGTCCTTTTACTTTAGAAAGCCATATTTATGTTAAAGCTTTAAAATGCAAGGTTTTCCAAATAATTAGATGCCTTATTAAACCCTTATTAAAAAACAGCACCCAGACAATTTTTCAAGGGGATACCTCATGATTGGCTCAGTTACTCAATAATATAATTGTTTGGATGGTACTCTATTGTGAGCACCAACTTGTGGGAGTTAAAAAAACACAAAACCCTTTCTCCACCTTTCTTTGGGTAAAGCTGATGCCTTTACTTTAGAAAGCCATATTTGTGTTAAAACTTTAAAATGCAAGGCTTTCCAAATAATTAGATACCTGAAAAAAACCATAATTGGCTCAGTTACTCAATAATATAATTGTTTGGATGGTACTCTATTGTGAGCACCAACTTTTGGGGGTGAAAAAAAAACAGCAAACCCCTTTCTCCACCTTTCTTTGGGTAAAGCTGGTGCCTTTACTTTAGAAAGCTATATTTGTGTTAAAACTTTAAAATGCAAGGATTTCCAAATAATTAGATACCTGAAAAAACCATAATTGGCTCAGTTACTCAATAATATAATTGTTTGGATGGTACTCTATTGTGAGCACCAACTTTTTGGAGTGAAAAAAAAAGCAAAACCCTTTCTCCACCTTTCTTTGGGTAAAGCCGGTCCTTTCACTTTAGAAAGCCATATTTGTGTTAAAGCTTTAAAATGAAGGTTTCCCAAATAATTCGATGCCTTATTAAACCCTTATTAAAAAACAGCATCCAGACAATTTTTCAAGGGGGTACCTCATGAGTGGCTCAGTTACTCAATAATAAAATTGTTTGGATGGTACTCTATTGTGAGCACCAACTTTTGGGAGTGATAAAAAAAAAAAAACAAATCCCTTTCTCCACCTTTCTTTGAGTAAATCTGGTGCCTTTACTTTAGAAAGCCATATTTATGTTAAAGCTTTAAAAAGCAGGGTTTTCCAAATAATTAGATGCCTTATTAAACCCTTATTTAAAAACAGCACTCAGACAATTTTTCAAGGGGGTACCTCATGAGTGGCTCAGTTACTCAATAATATAATTGTTTGGATGGTACTCTATTGTGAGCACCAACTTTTGGGAGTGAAAAAAAAACAAAACCCTTTCTCCACCTTTCTTTGGGTAAAGCTGGTCCTTTCACTTTAGAAAGCCATATTTATGCTAAAGCTTTAAAATGCAAGGTTTTCCAAATAATTAGATGCCTTATTAAACCCTTATTAAAAAACAGCACTCAGACAATTTTTCAAGGGGATACCTCATGATTGGCTCAGTTACTCAATAATATAATTGTTTGGATGGTACTCTATTGTGAGCACCCACTTTTGGGAGTGAAAAAAAAGCAAAACCCTTTCTCCACCTTTCTTTGGGTAAAGCTGGTCCTTTCACTTTAGAAAGCCATAGTTGTGTTAAAATTTTAAAATGCAAGGTTTCCCAAATAATCAGATGCCTTATTAAACCCTTATTAAAAAACAGCACTCAGACAATTTTTCAAGGGGATACCTCATGATTGGCTCAGTTACTCAATAATATAATTGTTTGGATGGTACTCTATTGTGAGCACCAACTTTTGGGAGTGAAAAAAAATAAAAAAAATAAATTAAAAGTAAAAGTGAAAACAATTGAAAGTAAATTGAAAGTGAATTAAAAGTAAATTGAAATCAATTGAGAGTAAATTGAAATCAATTGAAAGTAAATTAAAAGTAAATTGAAATCAATTGAAAGTAAATTGAAATCAATTGAAAGTAAATTAAAAGTAAATTGAAATCAATTGAAAGTAAATTAAAAGTAAATTGAAATCAATTGAAAGTAAATTGAAATCAATTGAAAGTAAATTAAAAGTAAATTGAAATCAATTGAAAGTAAATTGAAATCAATTGAAAGTAAATTAAAAGTAAATTGAAATCAATTGAAAGTAAATTGAAATCAATTGAAAGTAAATTAAAAGTAAATTGAAATCAATTGAAAGTAAATAAAAGTAAATTGAAATCAATTGAAAGTAAATTGAAATCAATTGAAAGTAAAATAAAAGTAAATTGAAATCAATTGAAAGTAAATTGAAATCAATTGAAATCAATTGAAAGTAAATTAATTAATTAAAAGTAAATTGAAATCAATTGAAAATAAATTGAAATCAATTGAAAGTAAATTGAAATCCTTTCTTAAGTTGATTGACCAAAAAAATGTTGAGGGGGGGCAAAAAAAAGTGCGAGTTATAGAGTATCCTCAAATTGTTTGGGGGGGGGGGCCCCTCACACTAATCAGAGGCACACATTATATATATACACTATCACTATCTATACTACTGTATTATGTACTATTGTTTAGCAAGTATGAATCCTGAAGCAAACTATATCGAATCTTTCTGGTTGATTGCACGTAGAACAGCCTAGAATCAAGCATTCGTATTGACAAACCTAGCCACAAGAAAAAAAAGGCAATGACAATCCCCATCTGTAGAGGATTTCCCTATTGAATGTGGTGATAGTATCTTTGCGCATTTCCATTGCCAGGCCAAATTACCAAAGGGTATCTCCATGTTAGCTGAACGACAAACTGGTGGTTATGTCTCGCCCATGTTTTTGTTCTTGAGTCTTTTTGTGTAAATTCTCACAGGTAAATTTATCCCCAGTTCTAGAAGGCCCAATTCTGATTGGTCTGATTGGTACGTTAGTGTAAATCTATTCCAGTCGGATCTCTCAAGTAAAACCTCTGTCAATGTTTACAACACATTATGGAAAAACACCATGCATGTTGATAATTTCTGACAAGAGGTTTCCCCATGGTTTTCCATATTTTCTGTTTGCTGGAGGATAAATCCCCATATTGATCACGAGTAAGCCAACAATCGATCTTGATTCACCAATGTGTTCCTATTATATACACATAAAATACACCATTCCGCGAAAAAAAAAGCAAATCATGTGTATCTTTTGAGTTTTCCATGGGTTTTTGTATGGTTTTTGTATGGTTTTACTACAACTCTCCATAAAATCTCCCCCGGAACATCCCGAACATCCCTCGTTCCACCTTCGCCGGCACAAAACTTTGGTGCCGACTGAGAAGTGTCGCCAGGACGGCGGCTGAACACCTTGGTTGCCATCGAACCATTGGGACGACCTGTCACCAATGGGATGGAGTGGAATATGAAAATATGAATGGGATATCTACAAATATATATATATATTATGATACATATATATATATATATACAGATTGTGGTAACTATAATCCCATTTTGGGATATTAATGGGATATTACAATATGAATGGTGATTTAACCAACCAAAATATTGTAGAGGTGGATATTGTAATAGCTGATGGAATAATGAGGTTCAATTAATAATATTAGTAATATCATATAATCACCGATATATTGGGAATATTCATATGAATGGGATTTAATGGGATATGAATGTAGCTATAAGATGCTATAAGGTAGAAAAGGGAACTTCACCAATAAGGGTGAACTTACCAATCTTGCCAACCAAAATTGGATATTTTTTCTGGGGTTTTCGCCAGTTCCCAGTCCTGGGGTTTTCAAGACCAAGTAGTTGTGAATCACGGCAGTGCCATGGTCAAAAATACCCTCTGGTAAACTAACATAGCTATAGAAAAACACCATTTTTAATAGGTAAATCATCTATAAATTGGCCATTTTCCATAGCTATGTTAGTTTACCAGAGGGTACCAAAAAAAAAAACATCTCATATTGGGAATCCATGGCCATCATGGGTGTCATCCAGTCATTTTTCGGGATCGCCTGGGCCATCCTCCAAAATATGAAGAAAAACTCCAAGTTTTGACCGCATACAGCGCATACAGTTTCATGTTCTTTGTCTATTTTCTTTGGGGGGGTACTAAATTGGGCGATGTCTTACTCAGTTTCTCTGTTTTTTTTGCTATGTATATAAATGGCGAAAAACTAAAGGTATCCCCACCTTTTCTGGCCAAACTCTTGAAATATCTTTAAATCCATTTCTAGAAAATATTGCGTGCTGATCAAATCCCGATGTATGATATAATTTACATATTTACATTATAATGGTAGAATCCACTTGTGGTCAAATCTCAATTTCGGCTGGTGAAACCCACATCTTTTGTTGCTTAAATCCACCATGTTCGATAAGTGCCCAAGAATTTTGCAAACCAAAGGACAACCGCCATTTCCAGCCCAGTGGCCAAGCAAGTGCAAGACGTCTCCCACGCACTTGGCCGACTTGGCCTGCTGATGTTTGATGGGTTCGTCAAGGGAATCAATGAAAGGGAATCGAGGGAGCCCACAGCCGGAAGGGGATCAAGGGAAAGGGCATGACAGCCATGAAAGGCTCAGAATCACTACCTCAATACAGCAAATTAAAGTGTAGATTCCTATGACATCCTATGACCATGGGGTGAAATGTGTGTCTGTTGCAAAATCATTCCGCGTAGCTGTGGCTCGGTCTGGATCCTGGGCTTGGAAGCCTCCAGCCAGATGCTCCATGGTGCTGGAATGTTACTTACATTTACCCCTAAAATGGCCCAGTTTTGTAGGTAAATATTCCAGCACCATGGTTCGCATCTGGGCAATATTGTTGTTGGTTCACCATTTCTTTTCACTGCCATTGAACCTTAGTTTGATTCGGTAGGAATTCATTGTCTGAAATCACCAGGATATTTTTTCGGATCCTTCACACCGAGCCTCGGCTCCATAGTTGATGCCACAATCATCCCATCCTCATGATGTAAACACCACCTCATAAAACAATATAAAACATAGTTTCTGTTGTTTTATCTTAAGGGAATTGGATGATATATTGACACAACAACTACCTATCCCCTAGCGGCTTCGAAGCTGTGACCCCCAAATCAGCTAACTTGGTACAAATAACTATGACTAGGGTTTATGGCAAACATATTTGTAATTGATGGGGGTTATAAACCAACAAACATAACTGGGGGGTCCTACCTTGTAGGTATTTCACTTGTTTTGCTCGCTCCTTTTTCGAGTGGCCTAGCGAAAGCTCGCTAGGGTCTTTGAAGCGCTAGCCACCACAACGGATCACTGTACACAACCTGTTGGTAGCACGCGGACTCACCCGCATTACAAACGATCCTGGGATGTCGGCAATCCCACATGACCCATATGGGTTTCCAGATCAACGATCAATCCAATACTGACTCTGTTTGGGTGGTAACAGTAAGGAGGAATGGATGACCCATACCGTTGCGTGCGAATGTTTTTGATTTTGGATGAAATTCTCTTGGTTGACATCCATGATCCATCTATTTCTATCTTTACGTATTCCACGGACATATACAAATCAGATGCGTCAAAAGATTGCCGATATCCATGAATACCACGAAACGGCACTGGATTAGTTTCGGAACCACATAATTGCCGTGTTCCCCTATGTTGGCTTTCATATCTATCATCTTCATTTAAAAATAACATATCTTCTCTAAATGGCATCACTTCAAACAACGAATCAATATGTTCCCTACACATATGCCAATTTCCATGTCGTGTTTTCACTTGTTTGCCTTCTTTCTTCAGCAGGGTTTGTTTAGACATAAGTTCACCAGGGGACTCTGTTTTGGACTGATTTCTTGGGCACACGTTATCATGATGAATTATTATCATCATTATTGCGATCAATCATTACCACGATTATGATTTATGTTTTGAACTATGTATTCTTACTATATTTTTTTATAAATGAAAAAAAAAATATCTATATATATATTATAATAAATACAAAAAAAAAAAACGTTGCATCCATCCATGCAACATCTGCCAAGGTTCAGGCCAAGGCACACTCTTTGTAGCCTCCCTTCGAAGCCAGCGTGGCGTCGATGCCGCTGAGTTCGGGTAGAACCACTTTGCCCAGGAAGAGGATGGCGCCCTCCACGTCGCTGATCACCTTGGGGTAGGGCGGGCAACGATTGGTGATATCTATGGTAATATCTAGATTATATAAATTATATCTATTATTGGGATTTATGGAGGGCTTACCACCCTAAATAAAAAATCACCGTTTGCGATCGTAAATGGTCCATTTTCTTCGATGATTTAGCTGTGAGGAATGGTGTCCAGAGTCCAAAGCCACAACCACCACCACAACAGCAACAGCAACAGCAGCAGCAGCGTTTTCAACCCATTCACTGGGAGATAGACATCAAATCAAGAACAGGGATACTAAACCAGAGTGTTGGGAGTTATGAAAAAATTACATCATTTCATATTGGGAACATTTGGGGACTGGAATCTGCATGGAAACTGTCTACGTGATGGATACATGTTGATCCAACGGGCGTCTGTGTGGGTCAACGCCATTGGCCTCAAAATTTCACTGCGTTAATTCCTACAGGCCCAACTCTGGTGGCTCCTTTCTTACGACTCAAAAATGACCCATATCCCACCCAGGACCCAGGATCCCAAAATGGGACCGAAAAATGCTCTGGAGATGTTTGAACAAAGTAAACTACAAGAATCTGACTAGATATGATGATCAATTTCTAGAATAATCTAACTATCAGAAGCTTATCCCATTCTTGGTCACATACACAACTAGCTTGTCTTTCTACCGCGTGGCAAAGAGAAAGGGTCGATCCACCGTCATCTTCATGGCAGGCGGCGGCAAGCATCGCGCCGCCATCACGGCACCTGTATCGAATTGACATGCCAAATCGGAGGGCTCAAAGACTAGCAACGACACACACAAACAATGCTAATCAGATGTATCAGATGTTTGATCACAATGATACCCTCCAATTCTTCATGTTATTTTGCTCAGCTGGGCAGATGCGGCAAAAACCGATTGGGTTTTGTAAAATCTCATCCAGTCGGTTTCCAGTCATATGAGTCAACTGATCAAACTTCCGAAAACACGCCATGGCAAAAATTCAACAACCTGTTCAAAATAAGTTGCGTATGAACTATTCCGAAGGAATTGTGACGAAACATGAAAAACTACGTCTAGACTACCAAGCACCATCATTCACCTAAGATTCACCAATCAAATGTGTGGTTATTATTTTTTTTTAGGTTTTTGTAGATTAGCATGCCCATAGGTGCTGCTTCACCTGTTTTCTGCTGCTTGGCAGATCATTCTCCAATCCCCAGAGATGGGAGCGCGAAGCTTTACCCTCCAGTAATCAAACATGAGCATTGAAAATAAATCCTAGTTGATTACCGGATTTAATGGGAAATGTAGAACTATGGATTAAAACTTGATGTAGAACTAGGATAATTTTCCCAGTTGAGCATATATCCCGGTGATCAAGATGTGCTAATGGGAAATCGTAGTTGAACTGGGAACATAATCCATAATTGATGGGAAAATCCAATTTAATCCACTATAAATTGGCATTTAAAACATGGAGTTTTCAGCTATGTTTGAGCAAGCCACGGGGTATGTTTCCAGCAAACTCAACCAGGTCGACAGCCACCATCGCATTGAAAAAGCCCCTATTGGTTCGACGTGAAAACTGGTTAACTGGTTGGTGGTATACCTACCCCTCTGAAAAATATGAGTTCGTCAGTTGGGATGATTATTCCTAATATATGGAAAAATAAAAAATATTCCAAACCACCAACCAGTTAAAACTAGTTGAAACCAGCGATTTTCACCCTGAATCAACAATCCATAAGAGAGGCCCTCAAGATAGGTACGTTGGTGTACAACGAGGCCAAGTGGAATTTTCAGGTTATGATATGTTATCATAATTCATCCAGATCTCGCTATATTCCCATGAAACTTCTGTTTTTTATTCATGGTTGGAAACAAATAAACTTCCCGCTGGTTGGTTGATAGAATTCCTACCATGGGTTGTAGTAATCCCAACTTAACGAGGTAGTAATTATAATCCACATTTCATAACCAACCAACAGTTCTTTGCTTTAAATGACGTATTGGTTATATCATGTTGAATCATGTTCTATCCCCATTAAATACCCATATATCCTCTACTGCGGCTTAAGAATCCCTATTGTCTGTTACCTATGAACATCTATGAACAATAAAACTAACAACCGATGGTCAATTACCGTGACAAATTATAATTGGTTACCACGGATTAACAATAACCCCATTATGAAAAATCATCACCTCTAGGCTATCTACTGGGAATAATCATGGTCAAATCTGAGAAATTCTGGCAATTATCAACCATGACTATTTTCAACCATGATTACAGAATGGTCAGTTCCGAAAAAAAAATATCATGTTTTCAAGACAAGATTTAGGGCGGTTTCAAAAAAGATCGGGATGATGTCGCTCACCATCAGTTCAACATTCACCCATTACTAGCGGGGTTACACTGGGGTTATTGATACTCGTGGGTAATCACGTCACATGATCAATTACTAAGCTACTTTGGGTTATGGTCATTGATGAAAAAAATGCTAATGCGATTAACCCGTAGCCATTTGCCCTTACATGTTATCCCACAATGATTGATAACATATTACCACAAAATTATTTATCATCCTAGTCATTAACCTCTAATTCATTATTATAGTGTGCATCGAAGGTGAATAACTTACCCTATAATATTTGATAATAATAGTGGATCACCCGTAGTTGTGTTCTAAAGCGTAGGCAATCAGCTATGACCAATGAGTATTGCCAAATGTCATTATCAACGGTTACCGGGTATAATTATGATAAAACAACTAGCATAATGAGTAATCATCCACGCAATGGTAATGATTATTGATTATTAACTACTGCATAATTATCAACCATTGCTATTACTGTTCATCAACCATTTCTATTACTATCAATGATCATGATCATCCATGACTATTCATGAACATTATCAACCATCGCTATTACTATCAATGATCATTATCAACCATGACTATTCATTATCGCTGTCAACTGTCAACCAGTACTATTAATGTTAATTATCAACCAATGTTATTTATGAAATGTTTTTACCATTGCGGTAAATGATAAATATCTATGGCTCTGGGTGAGTAATCCCGTAATCCATCATTTTACTCTTATCAACTATTGCTACTATCGACTATGACTATCAACATTATAAATCAACTAATACTATCATGAATGTCTTTTTATGATTAATAATATTATAGTTATCCCATTCATATTTGATCAATCATTATCCTAAGCCTAGACTACTATGGCACTATGGGCTGTCATCATGGTGATAGCCCATAATCAACATCCTATAATGACTATATTTGATCATTAAAAATCATCAACTACAGTAATACTATCAAGCAAATTATTCATCAACTCATACATTTATACTATATATGTTGGTTTCCGAAAAAAAAATAGGGGTACCCCTAAATCATCCATAAAAATAGATGTTCAGAATCCATATTTTATGGTATTTTATGTCCGGATTTTCCTTAAAAAAATAGGGGTACCCCTAAATCATCTATTTTATCCCCAGGTCCATCTATTTTATGGATATCCCAATAGCTAAAATATACTATTGGGATATCCCCAGGTCCCTCCCAATGGGCCCCGCCTGTGGCCGCCGCCGCCACCGTGCCCTCCTCATTCACCATGACGGTGGCCTTGTGGACCACGTCGTTCAGGTAGACTGTGGGATCATCCTGGATCTCATGGCTTGATTTTGATAGGAAAATGGTGGTTTTATAGAAAAGCAATAGGAAGACCATAGGAAAATGGTGGTTTTATGGGAAAATCATAGGAAAATGGTGGTTTTATGGGAAAATCATAGGAAAACAATAGGAAAATGGTGGTTTTATGGGAAAATCATAGGAAAATGGTGGTTTTATGGGAAAATCATAGGAAAACCATAGGAAAATGGTGGTTTTATGGGAAAATCATAAGAAAACCATAGGAAAATTGTGGTTTTTATCCTCTGGTAAACTGTCACATAACTATGGAAAATCACCATTTTTAATGGGAAAATCAACTATTTCGACTGGGCAATTTTCAATAGCAAACTGTTAGTTTACCGGAGGGTAATGGATGTTGATAAACCTAGGATATTAACGGATTAATGGATATTAATGGATCATCCTGGATCATCAACAGCCTCATTAATGGATATTAATGGATATGTGTGGACCATCCGTCCATTAAACTTCATGGATTGTTCAATGGAATTGTCAATGGATGTTGATGATTCTGATAGATATTTTGCTAGATTTTGGGAGATATTAATAGATTTCAATGGATTGTTTAATGGATTTAGATGGAATTTAATGGATCTTACCGGTTTTTATGCAACCCAAATGGGGAATTTACGAACAGATGTTATATGATACAAGTATATATATATATATATATATGTCATGGGCATTTAATGGGAATTTAATATGACTTTAAGGGAAAAATATTGGACAATTCAAAAACCGTGTTGGTGGTTTTTCGCCACATCCCTGAAAATATCCCCGCCATTAGGAATCATCATCTCAGTTCTATGGTTGAAAATCAAACAGATATACTGCTTGTTTCACGTGTTTTCATGGTTTTTACAAGTCTTTTCCCAACAAATACAACCAAAAAAAAAAGGGCATTTTTTTGTCCCATAGCCAAATTCTAGGCGAGTTCTTTGCGTTAAGGTTTTCAAAGGGGAAAAAAAAAACATGGAAAACCACCAACCCTCCGGCCCCTGGGGCACTGCTCCAAGCATCCGACATCTTCAGGAAGCCTTGCTTCGACTCAAAGGCTTCTTTGATCCCAAGAGCCTCTGCAGGACATTGGTGACCGACCAGGAGATGTCAAGGAATGAATTCGATACATATGAATATTTTAACATGTGTGATGTTCTATATGACGATAATGTAAACATATATATATATGCATCTGCATATATGTATATTATGATAAATTAAAACGGTATGAGATACTTGCCATTAAATAATGTATATATATATGTATATATATATGTTTATATATATATATATATTAATATATATATATATATATATATGTTAATATATATATATATTAATATATATATATATATATTGACATATATATATATTGACATATATATACATATATATTGACATATATATATATATATTGACATATATATATATATATATATTGACATGTATATATATATATATTGACATATATATATATATGTGCTATATTATGTATTAAGACATATATATACATATATATATATATATATTAACATGTATGTGTATATATATATATATATCAACATGTATGTGTATATATATATATTAACATGTATATATATATATACATATTATTATATATACAGATCATTTATATTCGTATATATCGAGATGTCAACATATGTATGTATTATCATGGATTTTATTAGAATATATGTGCACAATTTGAGTGTTTCTAAATGTAATCAAGAACAATTGCATTGTTCATAACAACCGTTTTTTCATCAATACAATTTGACGTATTCAAATCAAAGAAAACCTCTCCGGTTCTTTCTCTCAGTTGTCCGTTTGCTTGCAGCAAAAACCGTCGAAAGAATGACAGCTCTGCAAAATCAGCTAGACTGAGTTGTACCTTGATCCATAAACAGAGGAATATAGATGGCCTAAACCATAGTTATACCCTTATACCTACAGGATGGTAAACTTCTGGGCTTCGATGGCATAAACAGTTGACCATCCTCAAGCCTGGCATCTGAGATGCCCAGGATTGAAGCTATTGCTGTTGCTGATGTTCCCACTAATTATCTATCATTGCTTTCAGGTAAGCCGTTTGATGTTTCAGATACATGGAAAATGCTTTGCGCAAGACTTGTCCAACTTGGAACCTTTATTCTTTCACTATGGCAGTTTTGATCCAAATAATCACAATGCCAACAGAATAGCTCTGATTGGCTCATGTTTGCAAATTCTCGATGTGTGAAAAGTTCTTTTCCCCGAAGTCCACATATCATGCTTTGCCCCGATTTTGGACAAAATCTGACTTCTGACCACTTCAATAGGGAAACTCAGGTCCGCTTGGTGGTTTTAACCTATCCCAAAAATACATAAGTCATCATAAGTCAACTTTGCAAACTAGGGTCCCCTTGGCATCCCTTGGCCCTCACATCGTACATGATGGGGTTGGGGCTCCCCATGGCTCCCCTTGGCCCAAATCAGCGCTCTCCACCAGACGCCCCACCGCTTGGACTTGGAGCCTTCAAGGCTTCCACCATTGATCCACCCGCGCTCAATCCTGGACAAATGGTGCTGAAATGGATGGATTTCATGGATGTTACCCTCCAGTAAATTAACATAGACCCTGCCAGATACGCGTTGGAAGATTAGTGAAACCATTAAAAACTGGTTATTTTCAGGGTCTATGTTTATTTACCAGAGGGTAACAAGAAAAACAACAGTTTTTATGCGTTTTGGCTGAGTCTTAGGGGATGTTCATGGATTTGACGATGATACGATATGATACAATGGGGATTTGATGGATTTTCAGCATCATGGGAATATGACCAATATGACCAACGACCATGACACTATGACATGTCATTGGGTTTTACGGATTTTAAGCCACCAGCCAAAATGTGAAATTAAGACACAAGTATGAGGACATAGAATAGAACATATTGATACATATTGTATATTTATATTGCTACATGTAGTATATATTTAGATATCAAAGCACCAACATGATACACATTCACAACGGTATGGTTTGAGTTTTGAGTAATTTTCCTGGACTTATCCCCCCTTCAACTCTGCGAGATACGCTGATTCAGCAAGGCCGATTGAAGGGATCTCATTGTCCACCTAGCGGTAGTTTAACAATGGACAGTGATAAGTAGTTTATGATAAGTGATAGGCTGATAGGTGGACTGAACTATCACCAGTTCACCATTGAATTGCGTAGATCATCTATAGGTCATTTTCCTAATTTATGTTCCATAGATAGCTATGTCAAATAACCCTGAAGAGGGAAGGCATCTCAAAGAGCCGCAGCCATACTAGATGTGGGAACTCCCAAAAAGGCTACGACGCATTCGAATAGCAAAACTACAATCCGGCTGGTTTCGTACATTCCGGGTGTATTTATATATATATATAATACGACATTTGTACATTTGTACATGTAAGGTTTTGCGGCTGATAAGGGGCCTTTGGAATTGGATTCTAGGGTCCTTGGTAATTTAGTTGCACCCCTGATTGTAAGATATGTTTTCCAACATTTATTTCTTTACCTATCATATCTATCAAGTAGGTGGTCTTGGTATATACTAGTGAAGTTATCTCAAAGGAAAATGTGTATTGGGTTAGTGTCCCTTGGATGTTTCAATGTTTTTAGCCCTTATCCGCCATTTAGTGCTATCCGAACGGGATTGATAATTTGCCCCTTTATCCATTTACCCTTTTACTCGTGGAAGTACCAGTCATGATCGCCAATTCGATCGTAGTTCACATATGTTTTTTTTGGTTGAGTACTTAGATAAAGTTTCGGTATATCATACCCTGAAGTAATTGTAAAGGCATGGAGTATTATTTCCAATGGGACCTTTGATTCAATCCAAGATGGTTCTATTTTAGGCATCAGAACACAGTTAAATAAACATGGTTCTATTTTAGGCATAAATTTACCTTTTTGTAACCTAACATGACAGTTAAACATCTGCCATGTAAATTGAAACTATAATGGTAAAATTAACTGAGACGTGGTGCGTTTTCTAGTGCCGTGGTTAATGACCAGAGGAATCCCATTCACTATCAAGCAATAGTAAACTAATTCTCACCCTTTTACATGGCCATCCTTTACCCACACCCCATCGGGGTGGCAGTGCCGGGGGCTGGAACGGGTGGGACCGGTGGCCGGTGGTGCACTTCACCTTCTTCGCTATTGAACTTTTTGGAGGACTGGAGTGGGTGGTATGGCCTGCTTGGTGGGAAACCCACATTGATAAGGCATCATTGGAACCCCAAACTGGGCTGCATCCCTTAGGTCTATGAGATTGCCATCCCTTCCCTCCAATTGCAGGACGGCAGGGCAAAGAAAGAGGGAAGTAAGGCGCCATTTTCGGGTTTGGCTGATCTGGATGTGTGGCTCCCTTGGGGTGATTTCTACATGTTGGATAGGGACGCCCCAAGATAGAGGTTGATATACATATATATATATATATGCTAATAGATATTGATATGGGCGTAGCTATATATATATATATATGAACATAAATGTGTAAAAAGTGCAACCAATTCTAATTTGACATGTTTCCATCCTTTTTGGGGATGGCTACAATTAGTGTCGGGGTTGGAATGTTTAGATATTCTTCGACAGTGATATGGCAAGATTTCGAAAGGGATGCATGTCCTATTCCGATCTCAAGGCTGCAACTCTTTGATTTCTTGCTGCCATGGCAGAGCTACCCCCGGATGATGAGGAGGGTCCTAGCATGCCAAAGGCTTCGCAGTCACTGCCGATGACACATTTGGTGACCCCGCAGCGCAGGGCAGTCCTTCCTCCCAAGTTGTGACTTGACATTTTCCCAAATCGTCGTTTGCTTCTAAATTCCTATAACATTATGGTGGGAGATTGGGTTACAAATATTTGATTTTTTTGGGGCGAATACGGGGGATACAGACTTTAGGAAACAAATGACTTGGCAAAGTGAACTGAGGGATGGAAACTCAGCTCCAAAGGGTGACCCGGCACAAGCCTTCGAATGCTGTACATCTCATTGTGTCCAAACCTTTCTGACTAGCAAAGCTCGATCGGAATATTTGGATGATCCTTGGCATCTTTTATCTAGATATGTGTTTTTCCAAAGCTCAGATAACCCTTGAAGGATTTTATCTATTGGCTTACCCCTTACGTTCTGGTAATTCTGACAAATCTCAGGAAACATTGGAAAAATTCTCCAAGATGACTGACAATGAGGTGAACGCTTTTCTCATCGGATTGCTGGGGAGATGTGACAAGGTCTGGTGTTAGTGTCTAACAACAACTAGTTGGTATAGGTACCCATGGTTGGTCCCCCAAATCCCTTTGTATTCCAACGATTCCAGCTACATTGATTATGTTCAAATTGGTTATTATATATATTGATTATGTTGTATGGTGATGAAAAAACCCTTTCAGGTAGGTGGACGTACGAAGTATGCCTTATGTGGCTTTGGTGTTTGCCGTGATGGATTCGCTGCACTCATGCGCATCAACAAGAAAAGGGCACCTGGCATTGAATTTCTATGTTTAAATTAACTTGGTGAAGCTTTATCCATTCCATCATGTGAATGGTGTTATGAAATCTGCCTTTCCCCAGGTACAACGCCTGCTTTCATCGGGTGGTGTTGAAGTGAACCAGGTCCCAGTCGACAGGAGGAAATTCAATGGTCCCAAGCAATGCCCGAAGACCATATCGGCTGATGCATTTTTCAACCATTACTACCACAACGTGGCCTCTCGACAGGACATGATTTTGTATATATATATATACACATACAAATCAACACATATATATATATATGTAGTAGTATAGATATATAAATATAGATTAAGATAAAAATATACATTACTAACTGTATATCTATATATAATAATGCATGTATAAATAAATATACATGAAATATAAAAAGAATATAAATGCTAAATAATAACAAATAAATAAATATCTTTATTTTTACAAAGATTATATTATATCCTATTACATTACAAAATAAAGACTACATTCATCTATATATACATATTTGTGCATGTTTACTTTCCACCTCCTAGAGCCTTAGTGTGATAAGGCCATTTGATTGGAGTGGAATGGTTACCAACAAATTTGAGGCTGAGCCTCTTGCAGAGACACCAGCGGTTGAAGATGACCCATATGTGTCGCGCTTGCATTGTACCGGTGACTTCCTTCCAGGCTATTGGTTTTTAAAACAAATCCACCAAAAGCGGATTACTTTCAAACAGTTTGCTGTATCACGATCATGATAGACATAGTGCGACATTTGCCTCATTCCTGTCTCCCTGTGAGGCCCTGTGACCGATGATGCGCCTCCAAGTCTCTTTGGGCTGGAGCCGAAGCTTTCAGACAAGACGTGTGCCAAGGCCAACGCTGTGACCGGTTCCGGCCATGCGGGCTTGATGGGTGGAAAGGGTACCTGGGTCTTCCATTCGAACATTTAAAATGTTCATTTTTCAGATTGTCTGTTTCTTTTCCAATATGTTAATCCCTAATGGACCATAGGATGATGATCAATTTCTGTGGTGGTGCTAAGGTGCTTTGCAATGCAGACATGTGCACCACATGACCATGGAGGCATGGTACCACATCTACTGTGGCTGGTGTGATTCGAATAAGGTCCCACCTGAAGAGCGTGCTAGCAACCGGACTTTCCGGATCGTGTATGATCAGACCTGGAAGGTGACAATGCCAATGCGGGAGATTTCGCAGCATGCGAGGTTTGGTTGGGAACAAAAGTTGTGGTTGCCATTTTAACATCTATTTATTTGTCTAGTTGGGGACTACCAAAATCAAAAATAAACCCTCAAACAATGAATACTGACTGGCAACTTGGTTTCACCTAGATTTTATTTATGGAATGCCAATGAATTGTGACTGACAGGTGCTCCCAGTGCGCTCACTTCACTGCTCGAATTGGGCATGTCCACACGGCTGACGAAAAGGCTGCTTTGGAGCACTGTCAGAATATCCATTTGTCCAATGTTCGAGCCTATCGGACCCTACAGGCCAGGCTGGCCACATTGTCCGAGCAGTCGACGGTGGTGGACGCTACGGAGACTTGCCTGATGATTTCTGTGGACGGCTTGGATCAAGCGAAGACCCGGTGGCCTAGAAATCTTTCTTCCTCCAAGAGCTTGGACAAGCTGTGGCGGCCACAGGTCCACTTGATTGGCTACATCTGCCACGGCGTTACTTGTTTGATTGAATATTCAGGTCAACGCTCCTTGTTTGTGATTTTTAGGGATGTTCAGTGGGTATTGGGATCCAACCCCTAAGTATTTATCCTGAAATCAAACTTCTTTTGTGTTGAGGTTTGTGAAGGATTCTTCGTGGTTCCTGCTGATGTTCCCAATGACTCGAGTTGTGAGATCACTGTGATTGAGACCATTTTGGATTGGGCCCATGATATCCTTCGATCTCGCAAGTGCTCCATGCCCACAAACTTGGTCTTGGAGGCTTGGTTCTGGCCCAACATTGGACTTGTGGGGTGGTGGGGGTCAGAAAAAATCATACTTTTTTATTCTCTCTTGCAGCTCGTGGAGTCTCTCGATTCCAGGTCTTTGGAGGTCGGGCTAGATTGTTTCATTCAACAGCCTCTAGCTTCCCATTCCTCAGTTCTGTGTTTTTGAGACCTGTCCGTGATACCCTGCAGACCGACAATTGCGCGCGAGAAGGGAAAAATTCCATCGTAGCAAAGTGGTCATGCCAAGCAGTGGCGAAGGGAAAGCGCCTGAGATATGCTGTAGCAATGATTTACTTCTAGGTTTGGTTTGGAATGGCTCTAATACTAAGATTAAGTTTGTTCCCCACCTGCCAGGTGAGGGTTGTTAGATTTTATCACAGCTGTTCCGGCTCTTTCTCCTTCACCTCCTCCTCGTCCTCCTCCTTCTCCTCCACCACCTCTGACTCCACTTCCACGTCCACTTCCGCCCTGCCAACTCTTCGCCAATCTCTTCGCCAACTTCCGCGCGCAGTGGGCACTGCTGGACCTCAACTGCCGGCTTCCAATCTGAGTGGGCACGGCTGGACCTCAACCGCAAGGTTCTGAGCGCAGTGGGCACCGCTGGACCTCAGCCAGGGACCTTCCGCGCCCAGTGGGCACCGCTGGACCTCAACCTGGGACCTTCCGAGCTCAGTGGGCACTGCTGGACCTCAGTGGCCAGATGGAATGCCAGAATCTATGCCAGAAATACTGCCAGAATATATGCCAGATGTGTATGCCAGAATATTTGCCACATAGAATGCTACAGAGAATGCCAAAATATATGCGAGAAAGAATGCCACATAGAATGCCAGAATATATGCCAGATAAAACACCAAAATATATACCAGATAAAATGCTGGAAGATATGCCAGATATAATGGCAGAATAGATGTCAGATAGAATGTTAGGTAAAATGTCAAAATATATGTCAGAATATATGACTTGAAATGCCAGGGTGGGGATCACTCGAAGTAAAGTATTTTTTTATTTCTGACGTCTATTTCCCATTGAGCTGCGAACCAGGTTCCTGTCCGTCTCCCATATCTATGGGGAGGTTGGCCACACACATGGACCAGTAGATCAAAGGCTGAGTATTGCCGTCAGTGCATTCTCGAATGAGGACACGATCCAAACACCAGGGGAGCCTGGGATCTTCTTTAGAAAATGAAGTTGGATATGTGGTTCCCATCAAAAGAGACAAAAGAATTGAAACGGAATTGTTTTCCACACAGACCCAATGCCAATGGCCAAGGACTTTCTGAAGATCTTGGACACAAAGGTTTCTCCAGTGAAGGGCCGAGAGTTGAAGAACGGGATGCTTGAGGGGACTTGGGATTACAAGACCTGGGTGGAGCAATTGGGGCTTCAGATCTCAGGGCTGGTTCCGAATGCGCGTGCGGTTGGTGGGGATGAACATCGGGTGAACCACTCTTGGCGGTTCATTCGGCGATGTGACACTTGTGTTAAAACATGTTTTTGCTGGGATATATATCAGAATGTATTCGGAAGTAATGTCATGGGACTCTTTGAAGTAAACTTCATATATGATTTTTTTCTGTGCATTGAAAGTCATTATTTTCATGGGTTCCTTTGATACGTGGTTTTCAGGTATTAGGAAGAGGTTGCACAATTTAAGTGGCTTATAGCACAGTGGCAGCAAATCATAAGAATCAGGATCTTCCGAAGTATGACCAGAAGACTGGTGAGTCATGGGCTCCACTGGAGATTGAAGGGCTGGGACCTGGAAAGGAGTGTTTGTTCCGAACATCTTGGACTATCAGTTGTATGGTCTAACCCTTAAATGTATGAGATGACTCAATAACTTCCTGGGGTTTCTTGTGGTGGATTTTCATTATATACCCCACTACATATTAAGTGTTCCCGATAACTTCCTACATGACTGGGGTGGCAAAAGGTTACCATCATAATATATTTGTTGAGCTGGGCTCTCACCCATAACACCATACAGTGTATGGTTGTTTGCCTTGTCCAACCCTGAAGGAGCTCAGCTACACACCCTGTGATCACGATGTCATCTTTCTCGCAAAGGAGCTGGTGAACAGCAACGAGCTGTCTCAAAGGCCTTTGGTGGCACTTCCCAAGGACTTCTTGGCCAAACTCAAAGAACCCTTGAAGCTGATTCTTCGCAATCCAATTCCAGAGCGATCCCTGAAAGAGCTCCCCGGTATTAAAAAACAAAACAATCATAACCTTGGTGTTTGTTGTGAAAGCTGAAACTTTAAAAAGTACATCATTTCCAGCAGTTATAAACAAATGGTTTTTGATATTTTTTTGGAATTTTGAAGTGACCTTAGCTTCCCCGGTGCGTACCAAGGTTTCTGAAGACTGCGCGAGTCATTGAGCAAGAACCTTGGTATCTTCTCCGGGCTGCGGAGGAGCTTCGTCACTGGATCGAATCTTGGGCTGGTGATCCAAGTAAACACCCAAAAAAGGAACCCCCCCCTGTAGTCTACTTTTGGGGGGCGTGTCTACACAATGCATACAGTTTGCATCACATGTGACATGTTCACTCTAATTCATATATGTACCACTGCGCCACTCCGTGGCTCAAGACTTGCTCACATAGCAGATACAAGAGTGTGGTGTGCCGCCGTGTTGACCACAATTGTTCAACTCTTTTGTTGGGATCTAGGGCCCCGTGAATACCAGGGATTGCTACCTCATCCCCCGGGGGGTTCCTTTTTTGCATTGTTCCTTTGTGGTGACCTTCTGATGCCTTCTGTGGGGGTGGCAAACCGATAGGATCATCCACATTGCTTTCACCCTAGATGTGAAATGGTTCAGCTGGTGCTACTTGTTCCACATCATTTTCTTAGTCAGTGGGGTTCCCTGTGACGAAAGCTGTTTTTAATATACAAATATTGAAATTTTGATGGCTTTCATCTTTTACTACAACTCAAACAAATAAGGATATGAATCAAAAGAAGAGCTGGCCCGTTCCCCATATGCCGGTTTGGATGCACCAAGCTGACACACGCCCTGTTGGAGTCGAACCCAATCCTACGGGGAACTTCGGTGCTATTTCATTCGAATGTTTCTTTGGTTTGGTTTTCGGTGGTAAGCTGTTACTTAATAATAAAGCTTATCAACACCAAAGATATCAGCTGAGCATTGTTACCCAGACCCTTACAAATCCCAAATATATTTCTTCAGATCACTACGTAGCTTAGGTGGGAGAAGTTTGCGCCGGGTCCTGTCTGCCAGATCCAAGTCGTTGAGCAGAAGCCCCCGGCAGAGCCCAAACCAAAACGCCAACCCAAAAGAGCAGAACCCAAGGAAGCATGCGAACCCAAGAAACGGGGGCGGCCTCGAAAGCACCCCATTCTTGTTCCCAATGCTGCTGCTGTGCCCGACCAGCTGAGCCAGGGTGGGAATGGGGTTGATGCTGCGAATGCTGAGGTTGGAGGTGGTGCTGCGAATGCTGAGGTTGCAGGTGGTGCTGCTGCGAATGCTGAGGTTGCAGCTTCTGCAGCGAATGCTGAGGCTGAAGGTCCAGGTGCTGGTATTGCTGAACTCCCTCAGGTTGACCAAGGTGAAGGGGTTGAGGGTGTCGTTGGTGTGGGAGGTGCTGCCCCAGCTGAAGGTGCTGCCCCCGATGCTGTGCCGGTTGCAGATGATCGTGCCAAGGTTTATGGGTGTCCCAGGTGCTACTTCAGTCCTAAGGGTTGTTCGACCTGCCGCCGGCCCGAGTACAAACCTAGGAAACCCAAAGCCATGCCCAAAGCAAAGCAGGCTCCCAAAGCAGCAGCAGCAAAGAGCACAGCCAAGAAGGTCATGAAAACTCCGGGTCGGGGAAAGAAACCTGGCCGATCTGTTCGTGCCAAATCCTGAACAGTAGAAGCCTCTTACTCTCGATGGTACTTTTCTTTTCTGGTAGGTCTTGAATGAGTTTTCAACCATAATGGCAACTGCCAATGATTGCTGAGGGGGTTCCAGAATCCTGAGGTGGCTTTGTTGTATTGAACCAATTTGATTTCTCATTGCTTGGCAGATTTTTTCAACACAAATGTTGACTTGGCAACGCCACCCGGGTGGAACACAATCCATTGGGGAAAGCAAAGTTGGTTCAATGGCTATTTTGGTGATCTGCTACCCAAAAAGGGCCTACGGATCTGATGGCGAGAGCAAAGTGACCGGAGCTGGGAAAATTGGTGTGTTATCCTTTGGAATACATCAATGGTTACTAATATTTACTCATGGGGATTTTCAAAACAAGGTGGCCTTTTCCCCCTTAATACAAACTCATTTTGAGACATCCAAATTAATCATGGTACTGGGGAAAACCTCACTCACAGTATCATTTCCTGAAAGTATCACATTTGACACACTGCAACGTTTCATTAGTGTGGTTTACTTTGACTATGGTCTTCATCCATGCAGAATTTTCCATGCCTCAAGTTAGGACATGTTGCTATGTCCAATTTCGATTTGCCCCCAGTTGATGATGGCATTTCTTTGGGTGACCTTTTTCAAAATGGAAACAGAAAGCGGAAACTTGTGAAACCTGTGAAGGGTGTTAAGAGTAAAAAAGAAGATGTGACAGTGCCGCTTTCTGGGATGGCACCTTCATCGAGCTCATCAAGAAAGATTGGGCCCACCACAGCTTCAGATCTACCTCCTGATGATGATGGAGAGATTGACTTCTTCCACAGTGGTACTTTGAGTGCACCTCATGTTCTGCCGAAGGCCAAGCTGGCTCCGAAGGGCAAGGCTGCCCCGATTTCACGGAAATTTGCTCAGGCCAGGAAAAAGCATGTGGTTCTCCCTAAGGACCATAGGGATGAGCCGACAGAAGATGAGCTCAGGGAGTGGAGTCATGCTTCGCTAAAGCATGCTGCAGCATTGATTCCATCGGTGGTTGATATGCCCTACACAGACATGTGCTCCATGTTGGAAAGAGTGCCGTCCAACTACGTTGATCGCTGCACCCTGTGGGAAATCTTTTCGGTCCCACGGTTGGCTCCGTGCATTCGGGCGCTTGGTGGCACCTGCCGCCGAAGTTACGACATACAGCACTTCTTCAATTTGGGGAATGAAGGGTTTCAACGTACCTTGCTTCAGGACATCTCCACCTTTAGACCGTTTTACTTGAGCCTCTCACCTCCATGCACCTACCTATGCAAGCTCATGGCTTCGAACTGGTCTCGCATGCGAGGACAGCAAAAATTCCTGAACCTTGAGGATGGTTTGGGCTACATTGACCTTTGCTCTTGGCTGATGGCTTATCAAGTCAAACATGGTTTATACTTTGGGCTGGAACATCCACATGGCTCACTAGCGTGGAGCAGGGCTTCGGTTACTACATCTTATGTTTTTTTGAATTTGTTCCTTTGTAAACCACGTAAACCGCTTTGTTGATTTCGAGCCCCTCTTGAAAAATATAGAGTTAGCTTTAACTTCCTCACCAGCCCTCCTGGCAAGGTTCAACGTGTGATGCAGCTGGACGAGTCCATCAAGCTCATCAGTTTTGATCAATGTATGTATGGTCTTGTTTCTAAGGAAACAAAGACACCGATGCAGAAGCGGACCTGCATGCTGACAAATGTCCCTGAAATCATAGCTGCCATGGATGGCAACTATTGTGACAAATCCCACCAACATCAAAAAATTGAGGGCACTGAAGGGAATGAAAAAAGATCCCACTTTGCCCAACATTATCCACAGCGAATGGTGGAGACTTTGTGCAAAGCTGTCTTTAGTTGCGAGAAGCGATGCCAAAGGCAGTGATCATGACTTCAGGGGATGAGTGGAAGAAACAACGCTTTTTTGATTCTCATCCGGGGTGCTGGACACTGCTGAGTTTTTACCCCAAAAGAATAAGTTTATTTTCAAGAAGTAGATTGGGGTGTTTCTCGGTTCGTGATTCCAGGAATCTTTTCATATTAGTGGGATGGGATGGCGGTTGTCTGGGCCAAGGGTATCCGTGAGCTTCCAGGGTCCTAAGGGGTTCCAACGCATGAAAGCTTACCCATTTGAATGCTCCATTTTCACCTTTTGGTTAAATACATAATTTCATATTCATAAACGGTCCCCTTCGCTACTTGACAAAAATTCAGTGAGAAAAAAGTAATGGTCAAGATTATGCCCCAACCACAAAGTAATCGAACAAAGTAGTTACACATCTAGACTATAAGTGCCATTTCCCGATGCTGTTTGACAATAATACAAATTTGGTATTGATATTTTGATGAGTTATAAAATGGTTTGATCACCCAAACATTAAAGCAACAATGCTCGCGCACTATTTCTGAACCAATGGAACAAAATTGAAATTGTGCATCTTCTT